CTGGACTAGGGTTCCTGAACATGTTCATCACCCCAAAAGAAACCCTGATAAGCAGCTGCTCTCCTTTACTCTCCCTTCCCCAGTTTCCAGCAATCACCAGTCTGCTTTCTGTCTATGGATTTTCCTATTTGGGTGTTTCATGTAGATGAAATCATACAGTATGTGTTCTCTTGCAACTGACTCCTTTACCTGATGTATTTTCTAGTCATTAATGTTATAGCATGCATCAGTGTGTTGTCTTTTTTATGTCTAAATTATATCGTATTTGTGGATAGACCACATCTGTTTATCTGCTTGGAGGTTTTGAAGAAGCAACTCCAAGGCCTTGACCTTGTGATAAAGATGGTGCTGCCGTCATACAGACAGGATGCTGACCAACCTCACCCTCCTACGGTCCAGAGAAATCTGGAGAAAAACCTGTAGGAGGAGAATTCCCTGGCCTGGATCAGAGGCCAAAATCTCAAATGTCAACATCAGTAAGTGCAGAAGGCCAGTCATTGGACACTGGGAGGTTTCATGCCAATCTGCAGTGCCTAAGAACAGCCAGAATCAAAACATTAAAATCACAGTATTGACAAAACAGAACTTTGAGCCCAGCTACTTTGAGTCATTTCAGTCACTGCTGTGTTCATAACCCATGCTGGGCTTTGGCATTTTTTTAAAATGCTTTGGCGAATTGAATTTCAAGGTCCAGCAGAGAAGTGGGTGGGTTCCTGAACATTAAAGAACATTTGATTCACCCTAGATGTTACAGATGTGGGTGTGCTATGACCAGTCAGATAGGACCACCTCCCAGCTCAGCTAAGGATGAAAAACAGCCCCAATACCAGATGAGGGACTGTTCCAGAGCTCTAGATGGCCTCCCCCTGACCAGCCGAGACAAAAACAGCTAATCTTGTAACCTCTACAATAGGTTTCACCTGAAGAACCTAGAATTGGGGGTGACGGTGTCAGAGGACAAGAGAGTGTGACTTGCAGAACAAGGAGCATAATGAGAAAAAAAGTTACGCTCCTATCAGACGTTAGAGTCCTGTCTTATAAAATTGGTTCCTACATCACACAGCATTCCATGCACACTCACTACCCCGCCACATTCCCAGCTCTACATCCCGAAGAAACAAATCACTGCCTGGCATGAGCCCTCTGGATCTTGTATTTAGAATCATAAACCATTGGGGGAGCTGTTGAATCAGATTCTCAGGCCCCACCTCCAGGAAACTGGTGGCAGTGGCTCAACAAGGGGAGATCTATGGTTTGCAACACTGTCAGAAAGTAGTCCACAGGTTACACTGTGGACCTGGGGAGTATTTCCACAGTCACTGGATCTAAAATTGCAGCTGTCAAATCAGTGCCTGGTTTGCAATACTTGTCCAGTTCTCTGAGTCCAGCTTAGAAGATCCAACTGGCCTAAGACAAAATATCTTACATTTTGTTTATTTTCTACTCAAAGAATATTATTGAGCATCTTTGGTTCCTGCAGATATATCTGTAAATAAGACGGATATGAATTCCTTTCCAATACCTTTTTATTGGGATTATTGGTTGGCGCAAATAATTACCTTCTTTATACAGAGAAGCCTGTTAAAGTGGCAACATAGAATCTTCAGGGATTGGGGCAATTGGGAAACATTTTCCACTGATATTATCACTCAGTGAGTCTCCACAATATCTCTATTGAGCCCTTTTTCATGAAAGCTGTTCTTGAATACTACTAGAGACAAGGAACTCACTATAAGATAAACAAGACCACTCGGTTCTCAGATGTAAATCTTCCTTCCCTGGAGCTTCTGCCCCTTAGTTCTTACTCTACTTCGTGAGACTTCTAAAGCCTCTTCCCGTAGACAGCCATTAAGGCGTTCAAATGCATGTTTCACCGAAAGGCTCTGCCTGACCGGCTGATTTTGAGTCTCCTTCCTATTCTGGTTACCATACTCCTCTTGGTGATCTTCTCCTTCTAGCTTTTTAAAAATACAAAAAGTCTAACCAGTCGCTTATATTTGTCTTTATTAAACGTGTGTAAATTGGGTGGGGGATTTAGCTCAGTGGCACAAGCACCTACATGGCAAGCACAGGTGGTGAGTTCAATCCCTGGAACCAACAATAAGTAAATAAGCAGAAGCCAGGCGCTCTGTTGGCTCTGGGGGTAAAGTCTACTCAAAGAAAATAGTGACCCCTCTAGGTGTTGTCATGTAAATGTCACATTGTCAGGCTACTGGCCAAGGGAAAAGTCCAGCAGATCACAATGTCACAGGGGTCTTCATGGAAAGTATGGCTTTTCTTGCCATTGTATCTCTAAGTTGACTACCAGCTCTAGCAACTTCTTTATCAACCCTTTTTATTTACATCATTTACTACTAACTCCTAAACCTAGGGTTTTCCATTTTTTTATTTTAAAGGTAAAAAAACAATGGTACAAAATTTCAAAATAAAATTTCAAAAATTTCTCTCTTACAGAGAATAACAACAGTTAGTACATTGCATACTGTTATCTTCAAAGTAATTCCTCATATTACAAAATATAGGCATGAAAATTGATCAGACAATATAGACATAAAACTTTCATTTCAATGAACTAATAACAATTAGTAGTATAACTATCTTAATTATTATGTGTATTTATTTATTTTTCCTTGCCTTCATTTCTCCTTTCCCCCATCCCAGTTTCTCCTTCCTTTTGAACAATTTCTTCCATTTTACAACATTTATTGTACATTTTGGATCTTCTTTTTCAGATTCTTATACTAGGGAGGCGATGTGATGTTTGCTCATGGAACTCTGATTTATTTCACTTATGAGTATGGTCTGAAGTTTTGCATCCATTTCCCTATAAATGTCTCAAGTTTATCCTACTTTATAGCTGAGTAGTATTTATATAAAAATACCACACTTTTTTTATCTATTCCTCGATTGATGGGCATTTGGGTTGTTTCCAAGATTTGGCTATTAGAAATTGTCTTGCTATATAAACATGGGTTCACATCTAGCACTACGATATGATGTTTTAATTCTTCTGGGAAAATACCCAAAAGAAGAATAGCTAAGTCAAATGAGAACTCTAATCCAGGTTTTCTGGGCCACACTGATTTCCATAGTGGTTGCACCAGTCTATATGTAAAGAAAGGCTAAACATACTTTTTTTCATTTCTAATTCTATTTCTCTTTTCTGACCCCCTTCTCTCATTTTTCATATAAAGATGCTTTTTGATATGAAGAGTGCTGAAGCCTATACTACTAGATATAGTACCGTCTGATGCTCAGTTGTATTTTGGGTCAGATATGTCAGTGCCATAGAGTCAAAACGCCAGCTAAACCATCCAGACTGTTGTTCTGTCCCCTCCCCCTTTCCTATGTGTGTTTCACCTGATCTCATGAGATTTTTAGGCCTGCATTCACCTCATCCATTTCCTAGAGTGACCTGTAACATGTGTTTCCTGCCACAGCTACAGATGTAAACAACTCCTGGTAGATTCAAGAGCAACTCAGAGAAAAACCGGAAATGCTCTAATCACTCCCAAAAGCAAAGATCCCGACCCAGAGCTGGGCATACCTTGTGACCACTGGCTCAAAACACAGACCCAGAATCCCTCTGCTGGCTTGTGAGAGCCACTGCATTTTACTTTAGATGGGATTAAACTTTTGAATAGTTAGGAACACCCAAGAGTCTCAGCAAACAAGAACTGAAGACTTTTTATCCTACAAAAGACAGAGATGGCTAGAATTAAAAATCCTGAAGTGAAAATCATCTCGAAGGGCACAGGAGTCTGACCTCCTTATTATTCTTCTGAAAGGACTGGACCCTGAGAGAATGCATTTCAGATCTCAAGACAGACAGGAATCCAGGGCTCTTTACTTGGAGCTAATCCTCTGATAGACCTTACACCATCCCCCTGTCCCTTAGCCAGTATCACAGTCCTAGGGGCACCAGGCAACAAACCATTTTAGAAAGTATATCCTAGAAACAAAGTCAGACAAACAAATGCCATCTGGGTGCTCAGGAATCTAGCCATTTGCTGGCTTCTCTTCTTTTAGCGCTGATTACAAGAGGAATGGCTCCAAAGGGATAATATGTTCCTATTTTTCCTTCTAATCCAGGACACCTGTCTCTTCTTTGGAGAATGTATAATATTTGGAGCTTCTCCTCAACATGTGCCCAGCCACCTGTTGCTCATGCCTTTCCAAATTGGCCTCTCTGGGTTGGGGCCAGCCAACTGGGCCCCCACCCACCATCAAGGGTGGGCACTAGCAACACAAGTATCTTGAATTTGAAAAGTCTGGAGTCTCTGAGGAATTAGCAGGTCAAGTCAGTGCTCTCAGGCTGAATACATCCTGTGATGCCTCCTCCCTTTAAAAGAGACAGCTCTGGTAACTCATAAGTCTGAAAGAAAAGAAGGCTGGAGTTCATTGGTCTGTCACTTTCTTTCACTCCCCCTGTCATTCATTCATTCAACAAATATATATTGACCACCTGCTATGTGTCATTCACGGCCAGTCGTCCACTCCTCTGTTCACCCCCTAAACATGTATGGACCTCCGCTAGGAGTAAAGTGCCATGCTAGATGTTGTGGGAGATAAAAACCATGAATAAAGCTCTGCTCCTGCCTGGAAGGAGCTCTTGACTGGGTTGGGTTGGTAAATCCACAAGCTGTTGTGACTTAAGGCTGTCTGTATGAAGAGACATACAAAGAACTATGGAACACAGAGAAGAGAGAAGTCACGCCCAGCTTGCAGGTAAGAAAGTTGGCAAGAGGCTTCCTGTGAGACCTGACCCTTGAGGAGCAGGTTGGATGTGGACACGTGGAAGGAGGGTATGAATGTGCACGTTTGTGTCCAGTGTTTAAGGGAAAGAGGTTGCCAAAGAGCTGGGAAAGCCGAGGGGTTCTCTTGGCTGGGAGCTGGCATGTAGAACACGTGGGCTGCCCAGCAGAAAAGCTGAGGTTGAAAATGGGATTGAATACTGGTACATGTGAAAAGTCTGAGTGTTATTTTTCCTGGCCCCTTAGGTTCTGAGGTTTGGCATCCAATCTGCAAACAGGCAGCCCGAGCCGAAAAGAAGTTAAAGGTAAGCAAGCTGGTCATGACACCAGGCCAGAGGTCCTACGTGTCCACATTTTGCTACAGATTGGGGGAGCTGGACTTTAGTAGTCAGTGTTCCCAAATGTCTGCCTGTCGCTTTGGGTATCCTTAATGGGAACACTTGGCTTACAGAGTTGGAGGGGATTAAGACATTGGCTATGAAAACATTTTGAAGATAGTAGTGTTTGAAAATAGTATTCATGTGAGTTTTTAAGTGTGTCTGTATCCAGCAAGGTTATGACCTTATGATGCTAACCCAGATGGCAGTTCTCTGAGATGCTAATGTCATGATTTCCCCCAAACCTAACATATAATATCACTTATAATAATTATAGTTATATTGTCGCGGTAATTGACAGTTTACAAACTGTCTTTACAACCACTGCCCGATTTGATTCCTTTAGTCCCATAAGATAGGTGGGGCAGGTTTAACCTCCACCTTGCCTGTGAGAAAACCCAAGTCTAAAGAGAGTGGTGGTTTTACTGCAGCAATGCAGCCAGACAGAAGCACTCCTGGTGTTTCTGGACCCACACTAGACCAGCCGGGACCCTGGTCCTTCTGAATTTCTGTGTTCTGACAGATATCAGGGAGGCCTGTGCCTGCATATCCCTGATCCTGCAGGGAACAGGTGGAGTGCCCCAGGCTGCAGGGATGGAATCCTGGATTCCTGATGCTACAGAGGGGACACTTGCAATGTGTGACCTTCAGTGTAACTTTACACCCTGGCCTGTGCCTATTAGCGTAGCTTTATGGGACGAATGTGCCTTTTCAAGTAATAACACACAATTCCCAACCAGCTCATTAACATACCTCCTTTGCCTCATTACTCACCTACTCTAAGTTTTGTGGAAGGAGTGGTCTAGTGTGTAATTTCTTTGAGCCGTGCAATAATTTTTTTCTCTATTTCTCCAAGGCCTCTCCCATTTAAGGTATAAGGAAATCTATTTGTTCTTTTCTCCCTGCCTTTGGAAACATTTCCCAACTTTGAGTCATTCTTTAAAACTCTGATTCTTTTATTTTTGCTATATCTTACCACTTCTTGTATCATTATAAATTTAATATTTTTCTTTAAATCAATTTGCTATTTTTTATTGAACTGAAATGAATTTTAAAATATATTTCAACAAGTAGCAATTAGTTGCACTTGCTGTAAATAGTATGAAATCATAAAATAAAATCAATGGTTATGAAACATTCTTAAGAATCTTAAAATTGCAGCTAATATTGACAACGTTCTCTTTGGCTAAAATAGGGAATTAGCAACTGTTGAGACAGTTGTTGGAATGTATTGGCACCAAATTGAGAGCTCTCCTTGATATAATCAAGAGGATTGACATAAAATGTTACATTGTGCTCTCTTTCTGTATGACTCAGTGCTACCAAACATTCCACGTAAATTCATCTCCCCAGAGCCAAGCTTTGCTCACAGTCCACAGCTTGGAAAGCGCTGTCATGCAGCCCTTTCTTAGCACGCTTTAAATTGTAGGATAAACGATCTGAGAGGGAAGTGAGCAGCCTTGAAGCTCAGCCCTTTCATTTTGCACATCAGGAATCCACGATCTCTGAAATCACAGGGACCTTTAATGATCCTTGATTCCCAATCTCCTGGCTTTGTCACCACAGCATGGCGTCACTCCCATAGATGTGCTAAGATTGACGTCCTTCTGGGCCGCTGATGATCGTCATTATTGTTCAGAAACAGATTTTTTTTTAAAGTTTTTCACTTAAGTTGATGTCACTTTGCAAAGGGTACACTGTAAAGAATCAGCACATTCTTTAACTATGTGAAGTTTAACCTACTTTTACATTTTGAATAAATAAACTACAAAGGGATGAATGCTAAGAAATGTTTTTCATCCAAAGTAAACATATTATTGGCTAGGATAACTCAAAAGGAGAAGTTTTATGGTAATACCTAATTTAAAATCTTTATTACAGAGCCAGAGATACAGCTCAGTGGCACAGTGCCTGCCTGACAAGCACAAGATCCTGAGTTCAATTCCCAGTACCAAAAATAAATACACAAATAAATCCTCACTACAAACATAAATAGAAAATAAATTCATATTCTGTCCAACAGCCTGAAGTTCTATGCATTTGGGATCTAATTCACACTCAGACATTCATAGGAAAGACAGAAATTAAAGAAAAACTAGAAACATAGCCAGAGAATACTTCTGACAGTGTTGCTAATGTCCCCTGTGTTCTCATACCCATCTTGTTCTCTTCAACAAGCCCAGCTTCTCACCTCTCCTCTTTGGTCCTGTCTCTCCCACAGCATAGACGGACATCTGAAACTTCCATCTCACCCCCTGGGTCCAGCATTGGGTCACCCAACCGAGTCATCTGCGTGAGTATCACCTTTCAGCTGCCAAAGGGACTGCTGACACAGGGCTGGCATCTGAAGGGTTTTTAGGGATGATGGAGTTGTCAGGTTCTATCTAGTTGATATTTGGTGCACCCCCTGTCATATATTAGGTTCTATGCAAGCTCCTGAAGTTACAGCAAGTAGAAGAAGGATGTGGACACTGCTCTGAAGCCCATAGTGTAGTGAACCAAAAGTTACAGGGGTCGTGTAGCGCCCCGTGGAGCGTGAGGAAGAAAGTGCAGTGATGGGCGAGCCTCTGCTGAGTTATGAAACTATTGCAAAGCGCCTCCTTTCCCATACCTTAGCGGAAACATCTGGCTGGGCGTTCGAGGAGACCTTAACCCATTCCTTAACTGAGACCAGAGCAATACAAAAACTGGAGAGCAGAGTGGTATTTAGTGTCACAGAGAGGATAGTGACACAGAGAGAGTAGTGTATGAGAAGCAGAGGGGAAAGAAGCCTTATGCAACTGGAAACACAGGCATAAAGGATTTGCAGGCATGAAAAAAGAACTTTCTAATTGTGTGCAAGGTCAGGGGTAAAGTAGACCACTTTCAGGTGACTGAGGCCCCATCTCCAAAGCCATTCAAATACAGACTTAGCATTTTCCAGGGACATGGCAGAAGGAACGAGAGGGCACTAGATAACCTCAGAGGTCCAGTATACGTGTAATTTATTCACTCACTCAATAAGTGTGTGCTGAGTTTCTACCCTGTACTAAGCATCACGCACTGTACAGAGTAAATGATGGTGAATAACATTGACCTGATACCTACCCTCCTGCCCTTTCATACCATGAAATAATCAGCTGCAGTTATGACAAGTGCCAGGATAGAAAACACAGGATCGGGGCTGGGGATTTAGCTCTGTGGCATAAATGTTTGCCTGGCAAGTGGGAGGTCATCAGTTCAATCCTCAGTGCCATAAAAAGAAAGAAAAGAAAAAAAACAGAATTCCCTGATGAAGGTACAGTTAGACAGGGACCTAAGCACCTCGGACCACCTGGGGGAAGGCATTCCAGAGAAGAAAACACTTAAACTCATGAGGGGATAAACAGAATTAAACCATAGGAGGTAGGACATCAGGGACGCCAGGGAACACTTGACATTCTGACTGCCTGCACTGTTCCAGCCTTCCACAAATCAAGGGAACCAAGAAAACCAAAACTCTGGAGGAATAGTTGACAGCAAAAACTCACTCACCGGGGATGGTCCCTTATTCCAAATCCACACCTTGTTTCCGCTTTGATCTCTGGATAATACCCATTGATGGGATGATTTCCTTTCCTTCTTCCTTCTGATTAAATGAAAAAAACTTATAAGAATTATTGACCACACCTTCACTGTGAACCTGTACTACCACATGGCTGTCACAGAATAAAAGCCTTTTTTCTTTCCTTTTTTGTGGTACTGAGGATGAAACCTAGGGCCAGACAGAAGATAATCAAGCACTCTACCACTGAGCCACACTCCCAGCCCAAACAAGCTACTTTATTCTAAGACTTACCAAGTCTTAGACTAAGACGTATGCACTGACAATTGCTATGTGGGATAAGAGAGAAGATAGTCCTCCTGGCATTATACATGAGGCCAAACCGCAGCAGGATTTGAGAATTGGTTTCAGGTCTGCACTGTGAGAAAGTTATTGACAAATGCAAGCACGTGTCCAGAGGGGGATCACCAGGCCTGAGAGATCAGAGCCCCGCCTCACTAGAATGGCACTAATCACCATCTGGTTCCCTGTGCTGCTGAGAAGCCTTGTTACTCCTGATGACATGGTCAGGCCCTGATGATGCTCACCTCAGAGCATCATCAGGAGAAAGTCTGCTAGAGTTCTCTACGAGGAGCAGCTCACCTACAGATGAACGGTGGCAACTCGGAGCTTATCCCCTGAGCTCAGCTGCCTTCTTTTCACCCTCTGCGTGCCTCAGTACAGCTCCTCTGTTGCATGCATGTCATATCAGCCACATTTATGGCAGACCATTCCAAATATGGCTTCCAAGTTGGGGGTGGGGCCCCCATTCACATCAGAAACATGTAACAGGCAGAAAGATGGAATATTAGTTTAAGTTTTGTAGATACTTTCAGTTTGACATCAAAATGTAATCATCGGTGAACGTGGAATGAATAGGTTCTTCAAATCCAGTTCTTTTTAATTTTCAAACTTTGACCCATCCCCCACTGAGTTCTAGATTGATCTCTGAGTGACTTGACTCCCACACCATATGTCCCCATCCTTCCTTCCTGACTAATTATGTGAGGTTGCCAATATTCAATCACTGTGCCTCCAGACCCAAGGTTCATTTATAGCACTATAAATAAGACAGCTATAAGAAGAAATGTAAATATAGTGTTTTTGAGGTTTGGAAAAAAACGCTAATGATTATGCAGCCTGATGAGTTTGTAAAATGACAGGAGTTCTCAAGGTCAGGGTCTAATATCCCAGGACAAAAGGCACCAATTACTTGAGTAAGTGATGTCCCCTGATAAAGTTCCCTTTACCCACACACCCTAAAATTGATAGCAGCATGAGTGTCTGTACCAAGCCAGCTGTGGCAGAAATCATACAGCACACCTCAAATGAGTGCTCTGCTCAGGGGGTTTCATGAAGGGTTAGGGACCCCCAAGGAAAAGCAAGGGATCCAAGGACCTCAGCAGTGGGTGTTGCTGTCACCCCAGGCATAAAAGAGACCAGGGAAGGAGCAGCATTGCCAAGGCTGGTAAAACTGGAACTGTGGAAGAGCAGCTACTCGTGGGAGTCATGTCCAGGGCGCAGCTGGGCAGGATGATGGCCAGGGGAGTAAGCACAGCAGCCTCTTCCTCCACTCACCCTCCTGTCTGCTGGTGCCGCTCATTGGCCAGACCTGCCTGAGAGCAACAGAGGCTGCGGTGCAGCCCAGCGGGCTCCAGGCAAGAAAGGGTAGATGGGCTAGGGGCAGTGCAGAGCAAAGAGCCTGCGCCAGGGAATGAGCCAGGGATAGTGTAATGGAAGAGCCTCAGGAAGTTTCTTAAGCTGAAGCTTATAAGGCACTTGGAAAGCTGCTCTGTCTAACGGAGCAGGTCCCTGGGACTCTACCTAGCCCTTCGGCAGTGAGAGCTTCATGCAAATTTTGTCTCCAGGCCTCAGATTTAGTCTACCTCACCTTAAGACCTTCCAAACCATAGCAGTTACAGGAGAGACCCATCCTGGCTGGCCAGAGCAGGAGCCAGGTCATAGAGGGGATAGCTGGAGGACAGAGGTATACAAAGGACATGGCTTCGGGAGCCGTGGGAGGTGGGCTGCCACAGAAAAGAGAAGCTGTCTTTTAATCCACGCACTGGACTCTGAGAAGTCAGGTAGAAGTCTCAGGTCTCTTCCAGTTCCCTGTAACTTAAACAACTTTCTGAGTCTAGCCTCTAGATGGTATAAGACAGGGAGACACCCATCCTAGAAGCCAGAAGGCAGGGTGGGGGCTCTCAGGTAAGACTACCTGGGGTCAGATCCTGGGTTTTGCTACTTATTGGCTGTGCGATTTCTCTGTGCCTGTGTTTTCTGATTGAAAATGAAGATAGCATAACTTGAATGTCAGAGGTGTGACTTGTGTGGGTAAACTGAGTTAACCTATAGAAGGGACCTGCCAAATGTTGACTTCGCTTTACACGTGATAACTTGTTTTCACCACCGCCTTCATGGGGATGTCCTCACTGTGTGGGGCTGGAAGACAGTCAGCAGGCAGGTTGTGTACTTCAGGTTGTGTGGCTTCAAAGACACCAGCTAAACTGTGCAAGCGATGGAATATTTTGAGCCTCTATTTCCTCATCTGGGACAATAGGCATGATGTTGACACTTCACAGAGGTGCTATGATATTTAGAGGAGGTAATTCTTGTAATGCATGGGGCCTTAAAAACAATATGTGCTCAATAACTGTTAGTCCTCTTGGCACAGATGGCCTCTAAGATCATTCTTTTTCTGGTAATCTGTAGCACTTCACTTCAATCCTTGTGTTCTGTCTTCAGTGGAAACTAGCTAAGCTCGTTCCTCCTCCACCTTGATTTTTGTTTCCCTTTTTTCTTTTCCCTCTTATTCTTCTACTTCTTTCCTGCCCATTTGCCTCCTCCCCAGGCCAAAGTGGATAATGAGATCCTTAATTACAAAGACCTGGCAGCTCTTCCCAAGGTTAAGTCCATCTACGAGGTACAACGCCCTGACCTCCTTTCCTACGAGCCTCATTCCAGATACACGTCCGACGAGATGCTGGAGAGATGTGGCTATGGAGAGGTACTGCGTCTTGCCCTCCTCTGTGGGGCTGCTAAAGGAGCTGAGGTCCCACTGGGGTCCCTGCATCCCTTCATCATTGATGGCTCGGCCTCCACGGGGTTGGTCCTCGGACTTTTCTAGATTGGAATTTATAGCCAACATTTAAAAAATAAGGAAATTCATACAAAAATCTAGCTTTCTAGCTTGTTGGGGTTTTTTGAAAAATTGGTCATTAATCTTATATTTTAACTATCTGGAGATGGGTAGCAGCTCTCCCTACAAACAGAACTTGGGCCCTCCATTCTCCCCAGTCCACATACTCCTGTTAAATCCAGCACAGAAGCTAATGGCCTGGAAGCAGTTACCATGAGAGCTACTGTTTTTCTTGGAACAAAGGAATTTTACTAATGCTCAGCCCATGGCCCTCACCCCAGCCAGGCTCAGTGCCTGCTGAAGCTCATGATTTCTGGGTAGGCATGCTCTCTTGGTCTCCCACCTGACTGTAAGACTCTGTGGCCTAAGCAAGAGACTCATTTATAAAAATTCAGCATCAGGTGGCTTTAGAAGTCAGTATATGGTTGCTAGAAAATTCTCTGGAGAAAGCATGGTGGCCATCACATTGGGAGATCCTGCCCATCTATATCCCAGGAGATTTCTAACCCCATCCCAAGCTCTCTGGGCTACAATAGTTGGAGAAGAAGGAACTCTGGCCCTGTAGGCAGGATCCCAGGTTCCTGTCCCAAGGCCAGGGGGTGTCCTCAGACACCCCCATCTCTCTAAAGGGGCTGGTGTTCCATTTGGTTAGATAGCCTAATAGTGAGGTTCTCTGAGTTGTGATCCCTGTAATAGATAAGGAGAAAAGGGTTCAAGTATTTGTAGAAGCTGATTCTCTGAAGTTTGACATGGCCAGCCAGGACCTTTGGGCCATAGCCAGCCCCCAGATGTTTTGATTCACTCACAGTGTCTTTTAGAAATGTAAATTAGTTGTCAACACATAAATCCTGGAAAATTTCACTTAAGAATTTGCATTTCTGACTTGTCTGGGAAATTAAGAAGCTGGTCAGTGCTAGGCCCAGGGCATGGTCTTCTAAGGCAGAGTGGCAGCTGCCCTGTCCAGTCAGGTCACACAATCTCCGGTTTGCGTCCCCCCACCAGCCCCATGCCCTTGCTGATGCAGTAGCTTGGCCCTTGGCTGCCCTGCAATTGGACGCCTTTCCCTGAACAACGCACATGGCCACAGAAGGATCATGAACCAGTAAAGAGATCAGAGAGTTGCAGAAATAGCTCGAACTTCTGGTAGAGAAATCTGAGTCCAAACCAAGACCCACCTCTCCCCCCTGAGAGGTCCTGGTGGCCATGGCCCTCCTGTGACCTCCCTGGGACTTGGTTTTTCCAGGTGTACAAGAGGAACACAGTATTAAAGTTTTCTGTGTCCTCTCCGCAGTTCTGACATCCTAGAGTTCTTATGAGGCATTATCTGGCACGGGGCACCGAGGGGCGCCTGCAGGCCCTCTCTTTGCAGAACCATTTAACCTTATCCTGTCCCTTCCTCTTATCCTCCTCTCTCTCCCTTTGCTCCCTCCGTGGCTTCCTTCAAACTCTTCGCTTCTAAGTCGCTGGGAACACTGTCTCCCTACTCACAGGTAATTCTTTTTTTTTTTTTTTTTTTTTTTTTTTTTTTTTTTTTTTTTATTTAAGAGGAAAAAGAGAAAAACACAAAACAAACCAAAGCGGTGTAAGGGTACACGTAATACAGAACTACATAAACAAAACAAAACAAAGCAAAACAAAAACAAAGCAAACAAACAAACAAAAAAAAAACCATAACAGTAAGAAATCACCTGTTAGTATATTACATATTATCATCTTGAAAATAGTTCCTCAAATCACAGTATCAAAGAATACAAGGTGGACATTCAAACAGGTAGACTGCAAACATCTGTGTTCAATGATCCACAAACATTGATACAGTCAGCTATTTAACACCCCTAAACACACTTGCTGTTATATCCGTTAGAGCTCTCTTTTTTTTTTCTTCCCCTCTCTTTTTTACTACAAAATTCACACCCTTTGGATTTCATTACTCCTTAGTGCTTATTACTTTTGGGGAAGGGGGGGAGAATACAGTCAAATATGGCAAAACAAAGCTGTCAGTCAATACCAAGGATAGACATAGCACATGGTGTAGAACACAGTACAAGTTTATCAACTATGGTTATCAACGTTGTCCCTTGTTTCCTTAAAAAGAATTGTCTATCTCATTAGATATTATAAAGTTGGACAAAACAGTAGAGAACAAGACCAATACAACTTAGGCATTGTAAACATTACAGGACTTCCAAAGAAGACAATAGTCAAACCAGAATGGGTATCTTAGTGAATCTTATTGTCTTCAAAGTAGTTGCCTATGTCTTCAAACTTGATACTACCATATAGAATGGAACAGAGTCTAATCGTCTAATCAGTCAAAACAAGATCGTGGGAGCACTACAGGACTTCAAAACAAGTTAATAGGAAATCAAAAAGAGTTATTATTTATATATCCTAATTATTTGAATTTTTTCTTTAATTAAGACAAACATAAGAAATGACTAATTTTTTTAAAACAATAAGGGGGAGATTGAGATAAAACAGGACATAACAATATAACAATAGAGGTCACAGCATGACTGTTTCAACAACCTAGTACTTCACCACCATATAACCTGACTTAATAGTAGTTACCATAGTGTCTTTTTCCTTGAAATATTTGGATAAAACTTCATATACTCTAGCTTCAAATATTTTCAAATCAAGAAGCCCAGAATAAAGCCTTTCTAATTAATGAGTGAAAACTTTATAAGGCTCCAAGGCCACCTAATGGGGAATCATGATTACCACATATTTTTATATATTTGAATCATTACTTACATTAGGGAAACTATTCGGTATTCACACATGCGAGATTGATTTATTTCACTTATGAGTATGGTCTCAAGCTGCGCCCATTTATTGATAAATATCTCAATGTGATCCTTCTTTATAGCTGAATAATACTCCATTGTATAGAAATACCACAACTTTTTTATCCATTCCTCAGTTGATGGACACTTGGGTTGTTTCCATGATCTGGCGATTACAAATTGTGCTGCTATAAACATAGGTGCACATATATCACTGTGGTATGATGCTTTCAGTTCTTCTGGGAATATGCCTAGAAGTGGAATAGCTGGAATAAATGGGACTTCCAGTCCCAACTTTTTGAGAAATCTCCAGACAGATCTCCACAAAGGCTGTACCAGTCTACACTCCCACCAGCAGTGCAGGAGAGTTCCCTTTTCCCCACAGCCTCTCCAGCATTTGTTGTCGGTTTTCTTGATCCTGGCCATTCTTTCAGGAGTGAGATGGTATCTCAGTGTGGTTTTAATTTGCATTTCTCTAATGACCAATGATGATGAGCATTTTTTCATGTATTTATTTGCCATTTGCATTTCTTCATCTGAGAATTGCGTATTCATCTCAGATGCCCATTTTTGGATTGGATCTTTGAATTTTGGAGGTCTGAGTTTCTTTAATTCTTTATATGTTTTAGACAAGAGGCCCTTGTCTGAGAGAGAGTTCACTAAAATCTTTTCCCAGTTTGTGGGTTTTCTTTTCACTATGCTGGAGATTTCTTTTGACATGCAGAAACTTTTTAATAAGAAGTGGTCCCAGTTATTGATTCTGGGAAGTATTTCCCGTGCGGTTTGAGTCCTGTTCATGAATTCTTTACCTACTCCTATGTCTCCAAGGTTTCTACCTAATTTGTCTTCCAATAGATTTAGTGTTTCTGTTTTAATATTCAGATCTTTGACCCATTTAGATTTTAATTTAGTACATGGTGATAGACATGGGTCTAGCTTTAGTTTTCGGCAAATGGAGAGCCAGTTTTTCCAGCACCATTTATTAAAGAGACTGTCGTTCTTCCAGTGAACCTGCTTGGCTCCTTTATCAAAGATAAGGTGGTTGAGTCTCACAGGTAATTCTGCTGCTATACACAGAGGTCAGGGAGACCTTTGAGTTCTCCTGTCCCTTTATACTCACAAAGAAAGGCCTTGATCTCAACGCTCTATAATACCCCAAGAGGCGTGATCCCTGACTCCAAGTGCCTGCCTCGCCTAGGGTAATGGCCTAAAGAGTGGTAATGATTGGCAGAGAACTCAAGGTGCCCTTCCACCAGAGATGGTGTCCTGTGATCCCTAGTCAAGACTCCAGGTGCTAACCCATGGGTTCTATTCAAGAACTTCAAGTGCTGCATGAAGGTCCTAAAAATTCTCTGCCACCCACCTCAGGCTATGGGTGTAACTCAGGAAAGGGGTCTCTGTGTTTATGCCACAGCCCCTAGAATCCCCGATTCCATGTCATGTCCTCACTGTCTACTGCTTTGGACAGTCTATCTCACAGCCCCGTCTCCTGCAGGACATCTATGAGAACCTGGACCTCCGGCAGAGACGGGCTTCCAGCCCGGGATACATCGACTCTCCCACCTACAGCCGGCAGGGCATGTCTCCCACCTTCTCCCGCTCACCTCACCATTACTACCGCTCAGGTAAGGAAAACAAAGCTCCCCAAGGGAGCCCCAGGAACAGTGCAGCAACTTGGTGTCACTGGGGTGCAGAGACAGCAAACGCCTCCCCAGGATCTCCATGACAAGTATGGCCTTCTGGAGATCTGTGACCATTTAAGCGACTGTCTGACTGAATCTCGGAGATGTCCCTGGAAGGGACCTCTACTTTCCCCCACTAGAAGGGGGGAAAGATAGGAACAGGGAGGTAGATGCTGCCAGGAGAAGGGAGCTGCAGACAGCCTAACATCCCTTGCTGGAACAAGATTCTCTGTCCTCATGCTTTGGCCTGCCCATCCACAGGGTAAAACCAGGCTGAATGCTGGGGGGTTGCCTGGCCTTCACCTAAGGGTCCAGCCTCACCCGGACATCAAGACAGTCCCAGTTCACTTGGGGTGGGGGTGAAGAGGTCCTGGAGGGAAGAGAGGGGCAATTGTGGGAGGAGCCCATCAGGTAGGTGGGGAGCTAAGCACGTGCAGAAGTTGCCTGACAGCAGCTAGCACAGTTGACTTGTACAACCCCTGAGCCCTGGTTTGGGATCGCGTGAGGAAACAGGTGAAGCTTGGCCCTCAGACGCAGTGCATGAGAGCACATGCTTCTTCCACTGGAGCTGAGCACGCTGGGGTGCCCGGCCCCACCCCCATCCTTGCTGCTATCACCTCACCGCTGCCTTAACTGCCGCTGCAATAATGCTTGTTTTCTCTGTGCCTCTGTTCTCTCTGGGGACCACTGCCTCCGTGCTCCAGGGCCCGAGAGTGGCCGGAGCTCTCCATACCATAGCCAGTTAGATGTGAGGTCCTCCACTCCAACCTCTTACCAGGCACCCAAGCACTTTCACATCCCAGGTAGGCGCTGCAGCCTGGCTTCCCAGCATGGGTGCATGCTCTGGGGGGTGCTGGGGACCTGACCTCCCACTCAGTGCTGCACAGGCACCAGAGAAAAGCTGGTTCCTGGGGACCCTCACTGTCACCTACATTGACCACTGCCCAGCCCCAACATGCTCACAGGCCTTAGTCTCCCCAGTTAAGTGAACCAGGAAAGCCACACACAGAAGTCACGGACAGACTGTAAAAGTGTGGTGGGCCCAGAGGGCCATGATGAGTGCTGTAATGACATAGAAGTGAAGGCTGTTGGCCTCAGAGCTTTGAAAACTGAACCCCAATCCTGCTTCCCTGAGCCTCTGCCCCTCTGTGTGCCCAGCCAGGCACTCTTCTGGGCCCTAAGATCACAACAGGGTTCACCCAAGCCAGGGAACCACCCTGCATGGAATGTATATTCTAATGTACAAATTAACCCCTAAAGAAATGGAAGGACAATCTCAGGAGATGATAAATACTACACACATTTTTTTAAAGCCGGGCATCATGAGAGAGTGACTCAGGTGGGGAAGGCAGGGTTAGGTATAGTGGTCAGGAATGGCTTCTTGGAGGAGGTGACATTCAAGCTGAGGGATGAGAAGGAATCAGCTCAGAAAGATCCCAGGGAAAAGCAGCCCAGGCAGAGGCAACAGCATGTGTAAAGCTGATGTGACTGGAGGTGGTGCTCAGAGGTGGGAGAAGACCAGGGCAAGCTGGCCTTGTAGGTGTGGCCTTGCAGCACAAAGCACAAGCCCACGTTAGAGCAGAGCCAGGCCCAGCCCCCAGCTCCCTGCCCTGAGTTCAGCTTTTCACCCCTACTCACTTTCCCTGCAAGAGCTCGGCCTGTTGTTCCATCTGTACATTTCTCAGCTGCCCCACAGGGGTACTATACTGTCTGATTTTGAGGGAGGGGAGAGAGAGAAAATGCTGACATATGGCTGCAGCATCCCAGAGACTGTCATATGGCACAAAGTGTGACCACTGGCAGGAACGGGGCATCCTCCTGCACGGATTCTGCTGCGCATGCTCCCCACCCATCCTGCATGCCCATTGTTTAGCCCCGTGCCTCTTCCTTGGCACCATTTGTTCCCATCCTCTCCCCTGCCCCATTGCACCTGGAACTCCTTGGGGTGAGATTGGAGGTTCAACTCTGGAGAAAGATGGTAGCCCCTTGGGTAAAGCTGACACTCTCTTTTTTCAGAGATCAACTGACCAAGTACTGTCTCCTTCTCTCCTGTCCTTCTCTCTCCTCCCCATTGTCCCTTCCTGATCTGTCTGGCAGCTGGAGAAAGTAACATCTACCGGAAACCCCCGATCTACAAACGACATGGTATGATCAGAGGCAGATAGGGCTTGGCCAGACAAGGAAAGGGGGACTTTGATACCTGACCCAACCTGGGAACCACTGCCCTAAGCCACTGCAGTCAGTCTCCTGAGAGACCATCTGCTCCTGAGGGATTTATTAGAAAGGGATATTCCTTACCCCCTTCTGAGTCCCAGATGCTCTTAATTAGAGACACTTGGAGTCTGGCCCAGGATCTGCACTAACTGGTTTTGTGCACAGTTCCCGCCCACACTCAGCATTAGAACCACAAACCCCTTCATCACTGAGACCTCCTGCTCATTTTTGCAAAAGCCTGTGCCATGCTTCAGCTGGATAAGCACATCTATCCCTTTGAGGGTGCAGAGGAGCTGCTGTCATCCTGAGCATCCTTACTTACAGGTCTACTTGGATAACAGAGGAGACCACAGCTTTGGATGAGCTTGGAGATGAACCAAGCAGTCCTGTTGATGCAGGGGGCAGTGCAAGCATAAATAATGGTGCTGGTGCTCAAGACCCTGAAATTTACACAAACATGCTCAGTCTCCAGGGGCTGATCCGGGCCTCACTGAGTGGGTCTGTGAGCCTATATTTGTGTGCACACCGCTGAGGAAGATATGCAGTGTGCCCCCAAGAGCCACAGAAAGGCTCCAACCCTGACTAGACTTGTTCTGGCTTTACATCCAGAAATGACCCCATGTCCCAAGCTTCTCAGGGCTTCATGGAGTCTCCAGGTGGACCCTGCAGCATAGCACAAAGGCAGACTCGGGCTCCATGGTGGAGGTGCTACATGGGTGGGAGGGCACATGAACTGGCGAAATGCAGCTGGCCGGGGACTATGCCAGAGCCAAACCAAAGGAGGATTCACAGCTTTGTCAGCAAGTGCTGCTAGGGAAGGGTGCAGAGCTGGCTGGCTAAAGGCAGTTAGTTTCCCCACGACGCTCCGCTCCGCTGACTCCACGGAATGTAGCGTTTATCCCTAAAACTTCCCTGTAGTGCGCTTTCAAATTACTGTGGTGTCAGGCTAGTTTCTGCTCTCTCTCCCTGTGTCTTTCTCTACTTCTGTCTCTGTCTCTCTCTGACTCTGTGGGCCACTCTGTCTTCCTCTGTCTGTCTCTGCCTGTCTCGCCCTCTCTACCTATCTCTCTCTCTCTGTCTCTGTCTGTCCCTCTCTATTGCTCTCTGTGTCTCTGTCTCTCCCCATCTGTCTTTCTATCTGTCTCTGTCTCTTTTTCTGTCTCTCTCTGCCTCTCTCTGTCTTTCTCTATCTGTCTGTCTCTCTGTCTGTCTCTGCCTGTCTCTCTCTCTCTGTCTCTGTCCCTCTCTATTTGCTTGCTCTGTCTCTGTCTCTCTCCATCTGTCTTTCTATCTGTCTCTGTCTCTTTTTCTGTCTCTCCCTCTGTCTCTCTCTGCCCCTCTCCATCTGTCTGTCTGTCTCTCTCTCTCTTTCTCTCCCCCGCCCCCCGCTTCTCCTTCCCTGTCTCTCTGCCCTGCCATCCTGTACCATCTTTGGACCACTCAGTATTTGTATTTATAGTAGATTTTCTGCACTTACTTCAGATAGAAGCTGAGCCACACCGCCAGTTCCAACACTTCCAAATCAGGAAGCTGAGGCAGAGACAGGCAGGTTGTTGCCCAGTGTTAAGTGGCAGTGCTGGAGACAGCACAACTTTGCCGACTTGCTTTCCAGGGCGCCTTCTTTCAGCCGTTTAGCCTCCGCAGTCAGGATGTGGCATTTCCGGATGCAGAAGTGGGGAGGCCTCCTTAATGAATCTGCCCGGCAATGCCCTCCTAGATGTGCTTCAAATCTGTAACAAGGCAGGCTTCCAAAGGGCCGGGAAGGAAAGGGCTGAGCTCACCTGGGACCCGCTACATCTTCTATTAAGGATACGTCTTCAGTGTTCACTAAGAAACAGGGGAGTCCACGGAATATGCTCAGCTTGGGTTTGATCTGGTTCTGAGGCAAACGTGCTGTGTGGATTTGGGCAAGCCCTTTCCCCTGTTTGGCCTTTGGATTCCCAATATGAAATAAGAGGTTGGCCCAGGGCCTTTCCAGCTCCAGCGCTCCATGCCCCAGGCCTTCCTACCAGATACCCCTGGCTCCAAAGTGACCTCTCATCCTTGGACTGAGCCTGGCAGGGACAGGGAAAGGGCGTGCGTTGCCAGCCAGCACTCTGAAGCATTCTCCTTGGATTCTTTGCAGGTGATTTGTCTACAGCAACTAAGAGCAAAACAAGTGAAGACATCAGCCAGGCCTCTAAGTATAGTCCAGCCTACTCGCCAGACCCCTACTATGCTACGGAGTCTGAGTACTGGACCTACCACGGGTCTCCCAAAGGTACCATCCTTGTAGGTTCCTGAGACCAGAGCCCTGGCTCCTCTGCCAGGAGCTAGGGAGGTCAGGACAGTCACCCATTTCTTCATACAGTCATTCTGAAGAAGACAGCTTAGAAGAGCTACACTGAGGAGTTTTATTCATTCAGCAGCAGGTGTAAGGGCCAGCCATAGACCCTAGGGATATACTAGGTAGCAAATTAGGCCAGGTTCCTGCCCTGTGAAGCAGACATAGATTCCAGCTCAAAGAGGGAAGCGATACCCAAAAGGTAGGAGAGTTGATGTCTAGGGCATCCTGTCCACTCAGAAGATAACAAAAGCTCAGATGCAGTGTGATTTTGTTGCCATAGGAACGGTACAAGGAGGTAAGTCAGTGGAGAGGCATAGAGACATATCCCCAAATACCTCATCTGCAAAGACCCAGGATGGGAAAGCAGGTTCCACTGGAGGAAAAGAAAGACAGTCTGCTTAACCTTGGAGCTTGGAGAGGGACAGGAGCAAGTGCGGGGGATGAAACCTTTTGAGGTGAAGTAACAATTTTAGTTATTATCCTAAACAGTGATAAGCTATTGGAAGTAGTGACATGATCACAATTATGCTTTTGAGAGGCCACTTTGGCTATAAGGTGAAAAATGATTTGAAGAATAGAACAAAAGATGTGGGGAGATGGAAGGCTCTAATCAGCAGGCACCATGGTCCTCAGGGAACCACCCTGAGCAGTCAGCCAGCCAAGCTGTTCCTTTTCATATTAGGGGGAATTTTCTTCAAGACGCTTTTGGTTCAATGCTTGGCTCTACCAGTTGAAGGTACAGTCTAAGCAAAGTTTCATGGACACTCAGTGATGACCCCTTCATTATCCATAGACAATTATCATTTAGAAAAGGAAGTAACATAGAGAAACAACTTTAACCCAAAGTGGACAGGGACCAGCACCTATAGGAGGTAAATGTGAGAGAGTTCAAAAGCAGAACCACTTCCAGAATGCATCTTGGATGAGATTATTGGGAGGAAAGAGAGAAAAGGAAAGGAGGGAGGGACAGAGGGAAAGGAAGAAAAGAGGGAAGGAAGAAGAAAAGAAAGGAAGGGAATGGAAGGGAAGGGAAGGGAAGGGAAGGGAAGGGAAGGGAAGGGAAGGGAAAGGAAGGGAAATCAGTCCAATGGCTTAAGCCAAGGTAAGCTGAGTGGGGAAAATGTGCTTGCGCTTATCCCTTGGTCCTTTGGCAGTGCCCCGAGCCAGAAGATTCTCATCTGGAGGAGAGGAGGATGACTTTGACCGAAGCATGCATAAGGTGAGCAGACCACTTCAATGAATGAGGAGCTTAGAGGATTTTTTTTTTTCATGTACAAGGGTCAAAAACCAAATTCAAATTTACTTCATAGAAAAATAAAAAAGAATAGCACAACTTTGTAGAACTAAACTTAAATGGTTAGATTAGCTTCAGATATGACTAGATCTAGTTGCTCTCCCCCCCCCCAAAAAAATGCCATAGGAATGTTGCATATAGTAAAATTCCTTCCCTGGTGGTGCTTACCTCTGTGCTGGTTTTGTATTCAGACAGGTTATTTTCAGCAGTGGTAAGTGGGTGCCACCCTCATCCTTTGCTGGTGAGAATTTTTTAAAAATTTTATTTAAAAGGAAAAAAAGAAAAAACAAGTATAAGGGTACAAGTAATACAGAATTACAAAAAAAACAGAAATCACTAGTTAATAGATTACATATTGTCATCTTAGAAATAGTTGTTCAACTTACAGGATTAAAGCATACAAAGTGGACATTCAAACAGTAAGACTGCAAACAGTTGTGTTCAATGATCCAACAGAAACTCAGTAATATGGTCATCTAAACACACTTGCAGTTGTATTCTTTAGAGCACTTTTTTCCTCTCTTTTTTACAACAAAATTTACACATTTTGGGTTTTATTACTCCTTAGTTCTTATTACTTTTTGGGGGGGGGAGAGAATAAAGTCAAATATGGCAAAACAAAGCTGTCAGTCAAAACCAAGGATAGACAATAGCATATGGTGTAAAAACAGAGTACAAGGTTATCAACAATGGTTACCATAATGCCTCTGGCTTCCTTAAAAAGAATTGCCTATATCATTAGGTATAATAAAGTTGAACAAAACAGTGAGAACAAGACCGATAAAACCTAAACATTGTAAACATTACAGGACTTCAAAAGAAGGTAATAGTCAAACCAGAATGGGCGTCATAGTGAATCTTATTGCTGGTGAGAATTTAATACGGTCCTGCCACTGTGGAAAGCAGTCCCTCAACAAGTTAAACGTAGAATTACCACAGGACCTAACACTAATGTCTAGCATATCTCCAAAAGAACTGAAAACACAGACTCAAGTATGGTCATAGCAACACTAGCCACAATAGTCAAAAGGTAATGACAACCCTGTCTTAGTTGCTTTTCTCATTGCTGGGACAACATGCCCAGTAATCAATATTAAAGGAGGAAAGAAGGGACATTTAGCTCATGGTTTGTAGAGATTTCAGTCTATAATTGGCTGGCTCCCAGGTAGACAAGCATCACAGAGGAGAAGCAGTTCACATAAGTAGGAGGTATCAAAGCAACAGGAGATGATCACAGCTCTTTCTATCCCTTATATCTTATTCAGGCTACTCAGGGCAGGTAGCACTCATACGCTTAATTCTAATACCGTTAACACCAACATTATGCCATGACTCAATCCCAAGATCACCACTCTAGATCCAGCCACCTCTGAAGAAGCCCACCTATGACTGCATGTGGTTTTGGGGAACGTCTAAACACAAGCCATAACAAATCCAAATGTCCAGCAACTCACAAATCGATGAACAAAACATGGCATATTCATGCAATGGAACATTACTCAGCCATAAAAAGAATGAAATAGGGATGCATGTCTCAATGGGTATGAATCCTGAATACATAATCCTGGTGGAAGAAACACACAGAGCCCCATAGATCATGTGTTTCCATTTGTATTTATATGAAATATGCAAAATAGGCAAATCTATGGAGACATAACAGAAAGGATTGCTTAATAGGTACAGAGTCTCCTTTGAGGGTAATGAAGATGTTTTGGAAACATGGGGGTGGTATTGGCACAATATTATGAATTTACTAACTGCCACTGAATTTCTCACAATCAGCTCTCCATATCGGCAGATTCCACATTGTGACTTCACTAACTGCAGACAGAAAACATTTTTCTAAAAATATCTGTACTAGGGCCAGGGATTTAGCACAGCAGCATAAGCACCTGCCTTGCAAGCATGAGATTGTGAGTTCTATCCCTGGTATGTGTGTGTGTATATATATATATATGTACTGAACATGTACAGAAATGTTGTCATTATTCCCTAAATAATACAGCATGACAACTATTATGCAGCATTTCCATTGTCTTGCTTGAGAAATCTAGAGATGATTTAAAGTATGCAGGAGGATGCAAACAGGTGAGTTGCAGATACTACTCAATTTTCTATAAGAGACTTAGGTGTCTACAGAGTTTGATGGTGAAGGAATACTGCGGTCAATCCCCTATGAATACTTAACAGTGCTTCAAAATGGTTAATTTTAGGCTGTATGATTTCTACCTCAGTTTTTTTATTTAAAGAAAAAAAACAGAAAAGGGGTAGAAATAATACATAATTTCAAAAAAATAAACAAAGAAATTACTAGTTGATAATTACATATTGTCCTCTTACAAATAGTTGTTCAAGTTATAAAAGTGAAGCCTACAAAGTGGACATTCAAACAGTAAGATTGCAAATAGTTCTGTTCAACTATCCAACAAAACTTAGTAATTTGCTTATCAATCCTATATACTTAAATATACATGCAGTTATATCCTTTAGAGAACTTTCTTTTCCTTTTTTATAATAGCAATTACACATTTTGGGTTTTATTACTCCTACAGTTCTTAATACTTTTTACACTAGAGACATGATATGATATTTATAAATATGATTCTTGTTTATTTCACTAATGAGGATAGCCTCAAGTTATCTTCATTTGCCTATGAAAGCCTCGTCCTTTTTATAGCTGAGTAATATTCCATTGTATAAAAATACCACATCTTTTTTATCCACTCTGCAGTTGATGAGCATCTTGGTTGTTTCCAAGATTTAGCTATTACAAATTGTGCTGCTAAAAAAGTTGTGCTGCTATAAACATGGGCGCACATACATCACTGTGATACGACCTTTTCAGTTTTTCTGGGAAAATACCCAGAGGGGAATAGCTGGGTTGAATGGAACTTCCAATTCTAGTCTTCTGAGAATTCTGCATACTGATTTCCATAGTGGTTGCACTAGTCTACTCTCCCCCCAACAGTGGAGCCGTGTTCCTTTTCCCCCGCAGCCTCACCAACATTTGTTATCAGTTGATTTCTTGACGGCAGCTATTCTTTCTGGAGTGAGATGAAATCTCAGTGCTGTTTTAATTTGCATTTGTTGAATGACCAGTGATGGTGAACATTTCTTCATGTATTTACTTGCCATTTGTATATTTTCATCTGAGAACTGTGTGTTCATCTCAGATGCCCATTTTTGGAGAGGGTCTTTGAATTTGGGGGGTCTGATGTTTTTCATTTCCTTATATGTTCTAGATATAAGTCCTTTGTCTGAGGGGTTGCTGGCTATAGTTCTTTCCCATTCTGTGGGTTTTCTTTTCACTCTGTTGGTGATTTCTTTTGAAGTACAGAAACTTTTCAATAATATGAGATCCCAGTTGTTCTTTGAAGTGTTTCCTGTGCAGTTTACTTTCTGTTCATGAATTTTCTGTCTACCCCTATGTCTCCAAGACATACCTACCTTGTCTTCCAGTAGATTGAATGTTTCTGTTTTAATATTTGGGTCTTTGGTACATTTAGATTTTAGTTTTGTGCATGGTGATAGGCATGGATCTAGTTTCAGTCTTCAGCATGTGGAAAGTCAATTTTTCCAAGACCACGGATTAAAGAGGCTATCCTTCCAGTGAACATGTTTAGCCCCTTTGTCAAATATCAGGTGACTGAGTGTCTTTTAGCTGTGCTTGCATCTTCTAATCTGTTCCATTGATCCGGTCTATTTCTTTGCCAGTACCATGCTGATTTTATCACTATGGCTTTGTAGTATAGTTTCAAGTCAGAAATTAAAATGCCTCCTGCCTTGCCTTTGTTGCCCACAATTGCCTTTGCTATTCTATTTGTTATTCATTTGTTTCCAAATGAATTTTAGGAATGTTTTCTTTAGGTCTGTGAGGTTTGGTAATGGTATTTTGATTGGGATTGCATTAAATCTCTATAACAGTTTTGGAAGGATGGCAATTTTCACAATGTTGGCTCTTCTAGCCAAGAGCAAGGAATATCTTTCCATTTTCTAATATCCTCTTCAATCTCCTTTTTTAGCATGGCATAATTTTCAGCATATAGATTTTTTACATTCTTAGTTAAGGTGATTCTTAAGTATTTCATTTTTTTTTAGATGCTGTTGTGAAGGGCAATATTTCCATAATTTCTCTCTTGGTGAGTTCTTTATTTGTGTACAGGAATGCTATTGATTTTTGAGTGTTGACTTTGTATCCAGCTACACTACTGAATTTGCTTATTACCGCTAGTAGTCTTTTAATGAAGTTTTTTTTTTTATTTTCTACATAAAGTATCATGTCCTCTGCAAGTAGGGATAATTTAACTTCCTCCTTTCCTATCTTTATTCCTTTTATTTGTCTCTCTTGTCTGTTTGCTCTGGCTAGTGTTTCCAAAACTATACTAAATAGGAGTGGAGATAGTGGACATCTTTGTCTTGTTCCTGATTTTAAACTGAAAGCTTTCAGTTTTTGTCCATTTAGTATAATGCTGGCTGTTGGTTTGTCATAGATGGCCTTTATAAGATTGATCTGCCTCAGTTTTAAATGGCTGTCGGCCTGTCATTAAACAGGCCAATCACGGAGCCAGGTTAATGTGATTCTGTCACTGCCCAGTCCTGCTTCTTTGTGCCACCTCCAGAGCCACACACAGACTGCAGGACTACATGCAAAGGGAATGCAGGCCTGCAGGCAGGCAGGGGCACTACGAGGGGGCAGGGTGCCGGAGGCACACACCCCAGAAGTTACCTATAGAGGATCCAGTGCTCAGCCTTTCCCTAGTCTGCCCTGTCTCAGATCATCTGCTTCCTTCTAATTTCATTTGTTTCTCCCCACCCCAGCTCCAGAGTGGAATTGGCCGGTTGATTCTGAAGGAGGAGATGAAAGCCCGGTCGAGCTCCTATGCAGATCCCTGGACCCCTCCCCGGAGCTCCACCAGCAGCCGGGAGGCACTGCACACGGCTGGCTACGACATGTCCCTCAATGGCTGTAAGCACTGCTTCAGATGCCAGCGTCTGTTGGCTGTCTGCTTTGAGTCAGGCATTTCGTGAGGCACAGCCTAAACATCCTCTGCTTCTCCCCAGGAGCCAGTGGGCCCCTGTGTGAGTCAGCTTTCTCATTGCTGAGACACAGTATCTGAAGCCCACAGTTTAAAGGAGGAGTTTAATTTAGCTTGTGCTTCAGAGAATTCAGGCTATGGCAGTGGTGGAAAACCTATAACACGTGTACCTCAGCCAGCTGTTCGTTACCTCCTAAAAGGTTTTTCTCTAGTCTGGGATTTGTGGCTCCAAAGTGGAACATCATGACAGAAGATCACGGTGGAGCAGAGGCCTGGTTCATGGAAACTGGGAAGCAGCGCAGGCAAAAAGCACCAGTCAGGAAGTGGTCCAGGGGTCATGCATAGCACCCAAAGCCACATGTCCATGAGTCACCCACAGATACCCAGCATGTGGTCTCTCAGTCTTCAGTGTGGATCCCAAAGCCAACCAAGTTGACTTTCTATCTTTCCCTTGGTCTAAGAAGCGAGCAGGAGAGGCTGGCCACAGAGGTTAACCCAGACCGGCATACCCCCTTCCAGCCGTGTTGCTGCCTTTGAGAGCCTCCCTGTGGTCTGGCATACAAATTTGATAAGGGGCTGGATGTAGCAACACATGAATCCATACTCTGCCTTGAACTCTTTCCTGGGCCTTCTTAAATTATGACTTAAATCAGGCTCAATGTAAAACAAAAACAAGTCTTCTAACACTGCATACTTTTCTGACTCCTCCTTTTTTTTTGTTGGAGACTCTTCACTATGCAGTTCAAGCTGGCCTTGAACTCACTTTGTAGCTCAGACTGGCCTTGAACTCCTGCCTAAGTTTCCAGAGTGCTGGGATTATAGGCAGTACCACCATGCCCAGCCTACATCAATACTTGATGGGAAATACATTCCTAGGCACCTGGAATAATCATTTCTGGTCTTCAGATCCCAACAATGTAGAGAGATCATTATCATTCACTTTATAGATGAGAGAAGTAAAATTACATCACTTCCCAAACTGGAGAAGCCAATAAATGACTTAGCCAGAGTCAGACTTGTCCTAGGGCTGTGAGTTTTTCCTCTTTACATAGCTCCACCCTTGACAAGACTGAAGACAAAAAAAAACAGAAGACACATAAGCTCCTGCTTGCCAAGTGTGAGGTTGTGAGTTCGATCCCTGTAAAGATCCAACACAGTGGATGTAGTGGTGATAACATTGTGTGTCAGGCACTGGGCTAATATTTATACTCTGTCATATATTCTTCACAAAAGCCCTATAAAGGAGACACTATCACTCTCATTTTACAAGTGAGAACACAGGAACCTGATTAAGTAACTTGTCTGCAGTTAGGCTGCTACTAACGGCAGAGGTCGGGTGAATCAATGGCTGCTTCCCTGTCTGACCCCTCAGGGACACTGCCTTCCACCCTGTTTCTGGGCTCAGTGCAGTGTACCAAGGCTGCACGTCGGCTGTATTGCATTTGTGCAACTGCTCTTCACTGGGTGCTTGGCTGGAAACTGGGTGCAAGAGGTGGACATCTTTGTCTTGTTCCTGATTTTAAACTGAAAGCTTTCAGTTTTTGTCCATTTAGTATAATGCTGGCTGTTGGTTTGTCATAGGTGGCCTTCATAAGATTGATCTGCCTCAGTTTTAAATGAGGATAAAATGCAGCTGTGATGACTGGAAACTGACCAGTGCTGAGAGAGGCGCTCTGTCCCCCAGCCAGGATGGCCAGATCTTTCCCTGTGTCTTTCTGTCCCCATGAATGCTGACATTTGTCTCTTCTCTCCTGCAGCCCCTCGTTCGCACTACCTGGCTGACAGCGGTACGTTCTGCCTGCCCATCTCCTGCCTGTTGTGGCCTGCGAGGGCAGAATCAAATCATCCTCAGTCCCCTGGATCCCTGATGGCCACACAATATAGATGTCTCAGTACAGTCCTGATCTCAAGTAGTCCACCCTGCTGTCTCTCTCAGTGTGGGGTTCTACATCCAGGGAGCCATGTCCAACAGACCCTAAAGAGAAGGCGAAATCACATTCCTCTTCCACCCACGTGGGAGCCCGCCTGTCTTGTTCTGAGCTTGACTCTGATTCCAGGGCATTTATCCAGAGCCACGCTGGATAGGAATGATATGTGTCAGGGAAGGGCAGAAGCATGTGAGCATGTGTGCCTCTGCCAGCCCTGAATCCTGCCAGTTATCCCCAAGATGGTCAAGCCGCAGCACAGAGGGCATCAAAAAGAGCTGATGGCCTCTGATTCCTGTCCCTTTCCACAGTATCCACACTGGCCATTTGTAGACAGATGACCCCCAGGAGAGCAGCACCTAGCTGGGGCTCCTGGTAATAGCTCTGACTTCTTCTTTTCAGATCCCCTCATCTCCAAATCTGCCTCTCTGCCTGCCTACAGAAGAAATGGGCTGCACAGGGTAAGAGGGGCCGTGCTGGGGGACGTTGCCCCAAGAGACTAACAAGTCCAGCATCAGCTCACTGCTCTGATAACTCCTTAAGGGTGAAAATGGAGGCCAGGCCTTGGGGTAGAGGTGGGTTAACTGGAAGAACCCAGTGGCAATGACCTGCTCCCCTCCCATATGTGACTGATACAAACAAGGCCCCAGGGAATGGGCTGGGAGAAACTTGTACTTGTGGGGAAAGAGCTCTGTGCTGGATACTAAACTTTACACGCATCAACCTGTGTGCCTTTCACAACCCAAAGGAGGGGGTTGGCATTAACAACCCTACTTTGTGGGTAGGAGGATGAGGCACAGAGGGAAGAGAGAGTGTGTCCATACTGTCACACCCAGTACTCGGCAGGGCCAGGATTCAAGCCAAGACCAACTGACGCTACAGCCATACCTGACTGCCAAGCACCAATGGCCTCCAACACGGCAGATAGCCCGCTGAGCCCTTTGGCAGCCTGTGACATAAAACCTTGCTGGGAGCAGTGAACTGGCTTACAGGCTGAAAAGCAATGAAAACGTGTCTTGCATACAGTGGGAGAGGCCGTGGGCCTGGACAAGTGACAGGGCATAAGCCAGGAAAATTGAAACAGATGTTAATTTATTGGCCACCTACTGAGTGCCAGGCATGGCTCCAGGTGCTGGGGATCCTGCAGTGCGTGCCGTCGCTGCCCCTGTGAAATTTGCGTGCTAGTTGGAGATGGACTGGAAACAAGAAAATGTAGGATACAAAGGCTGGACTCAGAAGTGCTAGAAACAAACAAGGGGGTAGAAAAAGCCAGTCGGGTAGGGGTAGACTTAGACAGAGTCCTAAATGCGAAGAGAGACCCTCTCCACTGGAAGACCTGCAAGAGCCATCCGGATGCAGGGAAGGGAACTGTGTAAGCCCCTGGGCAGAGCGGGTGCACCAATCCTGAGCCACATGGCCAGGACAGAGGAGGAGGAGACGAAACCTGGCAGGAGTGTCATTAGGGCCTTGCACGCTGGGTAAAGACCTCAGAGGGTTCCAGTAAGTGTGCTGTGTGATCTGACTCTGATTTGTAGTAGACTGCCTGAAGTGGGTGTGTGTAATGGAAGCCGGAGAGGAGCAGACATGGAAGCCATAGATTCATTAGGAGACTGTCTCAGGGCAGAACATTAGAGTGGTGGCTGTGTAACCCCTGTGTACTGAGGATGCCATCACTGCCCTCCGAAGCTAGGTATTCATTCATCAGACAACTGTTTATTAAAAGCTTCTTCTGTATGCCAGGTACTACTGTCGGGACTTAGAGTACATCAGTGACCAAAATTAGCAAAGGTCGCTGCCCCTCAGAGCTTACTTTTGTATAGGAAGATACAGTATGTAAGAAATAGGGGGGAAGTCCAATTATATGGAGTATTGTGGGGGAAAAAATTACAAAAGATGCACAGATTAAGGATGGCTGAGAGTTCCTGGAGAGGGCAGTGTGCAATTGTCAATACTGCTGTCCCCAGAGGTCTCATGAAACAAGGTCTTAGCAATAGAATGCAGCATGAGATTAAATTCACAAAATAACGGTAAGGCCTGAGTGCCTCTGTGTGCTAGGTGTAGGCACAGGAAGGCAGAGTCCCCTGCATTGAGACTGAGGCTGCTCAGAGAGTCCTGTCCCCCTCCAGCCCTGCTCCATATTCTGGAGATGAGCGGATGCTTCAGAGAGGCAGAGGCGAGCTTGTCTCAGACGGTCCTGGCTCTGTCTCCTCTGCAGACTCCCAGCGCAGACCTCTTCCACTACGACAGCATGAACGCAGTCAACTGGGGCATGCGAGGTGAGCAAGGGCCTGGCTGAGTTAGAGGAGGTGGCTCCTCCGGGACTTCCCAGGGACTCCGGATGGGCTGCTCATAGCTGTTGCTTGACCTTTGGCAAGTAATTGCTATAGATTCCATCTCCACCCTGGGCTCTGTCCAAGTGCTGAGTTCCACTCCCTTTCACTTCCACTCCCTCTTTTCCCCTGCTCTTTCTGTCAAGTCCTCGGCCTTGGGTGATCTCCAGGCCATCTGTCCCATCTGGGTTCCCAGAGCCATGGCAAAGTGCTGAGGTCCCTGTACTGCTGAGCTTGAGTGGCCTGCCAGCCCCGGTGAAGGGAAACACTCAGAGCCAAATGGACAGTGTTCCCAGAAAAAAATTTCCATCAGCTGCACACTCCCTGCCAGGAAAGTTCTCACGCTAGCCCCCACCAGCTCGCCTGGGGAGGAACAGAGAAGAGGGAGCCCACGTCAGAATTGTGGTTGTTTCCCCCCAAGAAGGTGGAACTCATGTCAGTGTACTTCATGAACAAGCTCAGAACCTTTTATTTGTGTTCTAAATACCTCAAAACCTGTTTTTCCCTGAAATCCATCTCAGGATTAACCCCTATCTCCAGCTATTCTCCATACTCATGGAGCGAGGCCCGTTCTCCATGGTGAATTCAGCCAGGACAGGGTCTCTGGAGACATACGGTGCCCAGACCTCTTCGGAGGCTAAGGCAGCGGCCAGGGTAGTGATCTGAAGTCAAGATTGATGGACTCTACTCTGTTCATGTTTCTTTTCTCTCTACAGAGTACAAGGTAAAGGACACATGGACCCTGGGGGTCTCCAGGATGCTGGGAGCCACTGTATCAGGGACCAGCAAGAGGATGACATCACCATCTATGCAGGAAAGGGAATATAGATTATCAGAGTTCCTTTAAGACTATCATTTCCTGTCCCTCCTTGGACCACTTTCCCTGAACCCTGCCCAGGTCTCCTGCCTATGAAATCAGGCCATTTCCCTGGTCCTCAAGGACTCTGGTGGCTTACTATTCCTAATTAGGAAATACATTCAGGATACCTTGTGCCCAAATTAAAGCTAATGTCATCAAGCTTCACTTTGGCAGTATAAAGGGATTTTGTGGGGCCTTACCTGTGGGGAGAAGGTGTCTTAAGACTTCTGGAAAACCCAAAAGGGCAGATCCAGCTTCCTCCAGACTGAACCTCTGGCCCTTTGTGGATAGAGGAAGGAACCCAAATACAAACTGTAGTGAAAGGAGCAAGTCTGTCCTCATCACCCAAGCTGTAAATATGCCTCCCACACGCCCTTATCTCCCTAGATCTACCCCTATGAACTGCTGCTGGTGACCACAAGGGGAAGAAACCGACTGCCCAAGGATGTAGACCGCACCCGCTTAGAGGTAAGTACAGAAAACTTAACAGGAACTTTTGCATCTGAACGAATTCCAGAGCTCCCTGATCCAACCCAGAAGGTCATGAATTAAGATCCCTCAGCTTGTTGAAGAAGTGGGGCCTCAAACCAGATTCCGCAGCCCGACACAGTTCCCTGCTGCCCTATGCTGCCTGTTCTGTTTGTTACTGTGTCAGCACCTGTGGTGTGCAGTGGCATCTCGCCCCCAGCTGGGGCTGATGCTCTGCAGACACAGGAATGTGCTAGACTCGGTCCCTGACCTCAGAGGGCCTGCTGTCTCCAGACTGCACGAGGGCTCGTGCTTGTGGTGAGGGAGGGCGGGAGAGGCAGCTCCTCATAGAAGGCAAAGACATACCTAAGCCCAAGTGAAATTCCCTAGGTTCACCCCCTCCTCTGCCATCACAAGGTGGGCAGCTGTATTTAACCAGGTGACATTCTCTCTAAACCTTATTTCCCTCCTCATTCAGTTAGGGTGCTGTGCTTCCCCCCAAGTTGCCAGAAGAGAGGAATAAATAATACCCATCAAGCGTTCAGTGCAGAGTCTGGCAATAGACTGAGTATTAAGCACACAGTAAACCTTAAATTGTTGCTATTCTGAAAAGGTCACGAGGGCTTGGGATGATTGGCACAAGATTACAGGGAGAGGAAGAATTTGGATGGACTTGGAGGAAGAGAGGGCGGGCGCACCATGAGTGGTGGAAACTGCGTGGATAAAGGTGCAGAGTGGCTGCACACGGTGTCAGGCCTGCAAGCACTGCAGTTAAACACAGAAGTGCGGCCCCTGGTCTCCTCTGGGCTGATGTGCTTCACCCCTTTCCCTCGTGTGCCCTCTCCTGACTCTCCTTACCTTCCCCATAGAATCTTTCCCCCATCCTGCGAGCCTTCTCATGCCCCAGGGCCCACATTAGTAATCCCGGTGCCCTAAACCCTCCCCCAGGATGGACCATACTCCTTCAGCCTCCCCTACTCTGGGTCCAGGGTACAGATCTCCCCACATGTACAAGGTCCTGCTCCCTCCACCACTGGAACTGCGTGGCTGCCGGTGCTGAAGGGGACAGCTCCTCGGGCAGTTTCACAGAGCTGTGAGCCAGGCGGAGTCTGTAAGCCCCTAGCAGCCCAGGCTGGAGAGCTCAGCCTTCCTGAGCATCAGAATCAAGCAAGGAGCTTCTTCTGTACTGGGTCCCCAACCCTAGACTAAGTCAGTCACAATATGGAGAGGAGCACCTGTAGTCCGTATATTTTAAAAGCTCCCAGGATTGTCTAAAACGTAGAGCTAAGACCACTAACGCAAAAACCCTGCTCCAGCCCCTGCACCAGTTCAAGGCGTGCTCTATAGAAGGAAAACCCTGACCCTAATTTCCAGGAGCTCAAATATAATATTCTTCCTACCAAAAATATTCAGTGTATTATATAGGCCATGAACTGATCTGGGTGTTGGCAGTGTACCAATAAACAAACAAAAAAAAAAAAAAAAAAAAAAGACTTTGCCCTCTTCAAGCATACAGCTATTTGCCTTTCTAAGCTGGTTTTTAAATTTCATTTTGAAAATTTCAGACTACTAGAAAAGTTGCAAGAACAGTAAAATAAGTATCTCTCTGCTCTCTACCTAAATGCACCAATTGTTAATATTTTGCCCCATTTTAAATGTCTGACACTTCTAAACCTAAAAACTTTTAACTATCTATCACATTTTCGAGGCTGCTTAGAAAGGACAGAAGGACAGAGAAAAGACAGAAAGCGGGGAGAGCCGGCCATGAGTGCAGAATGATGTTTGATTGTATCCTGTACTTGTTTTCATATAAGAAAGAGACTTTCAAAACACTTAGCAGGCTGCAAAATGTGAGCGGCAGTTTTATTCATTGGACTGGACAGCATTCTAGATCACTCGTTAAAACATTAATAAGAAGAAATATACCCTCAAATCTTGGAAGTGCCTCCTTTTTCTGCCAGAGGGGTTAAGATGGCATTAATCCACACACATTTCTGGGCATAGACGCACGGAACAGGGATGCAGAAGGGTGAGGTCAACAAACTTGCATGATGGGTGCCTGGGCAAAGCCAAAGCTCCCCCTGAGCCGTGGGTTACCCACCCAGATCAGTTCGAGGGGTCCCTCTGGGGAGACTCATTTCCACACTTACCACCCCCCGCCCCAGTATGTATCACCTGCCTCCCTGGGAATGGACAGGGACACTGCTGTGGGCACCCCCACACCTCCTGTCCTCACGCTGCTCTCTCTCCACCCCCTCCACTCCTCAGCGCCACCTGTCCCAGGAAGAGTTCTACCAGGTCTTTGGCATGACCATCTCGGAGTTTGAGCGGCTCGCCCTCTGGAAAAGGAATGAACTCAAGAAGCAAGCCCGGCTGTTCTAGGCAGAGGCTATACATATAGATGCATTTATATAAAGATGTATGTAAAATCTCTATCCTGAAGCGCGGTATAATCCTCTTGTGTAACAGGATACACTGCCTGCCATGAGACTTGCTTTTCTGTACTGTCAGGCAAGCCCACATCATCAAAGTATTTTTTATGCTCCTTCTCTTTTCTAAGTGCTGTGGGATCTGGGAAGGGATTTGAGGGGACTCTGCTTTTATTGGGGGTCCTTTTTATACTGAAACATCTGTCCTAACTTGAGTCTCCCAAGCTCCAACTCTCTTTCCCTAAAACGGTGCCTGGAGAAGTCTCTACTCTCTGCCTCTTGGCCCATTTCCAGGTCTCCGGGGCTGACTCTGGCCATGCAGCTTCTGCACACTATTGGCCCCAGAGGGGTCCTCCCATGGGCAGGTCACAGTGACCTTCCCAAATCACTGAGCACCTTTGAGGGTTCATGAACAATTTTCTCTACACCCCCAGTGAGGAGCTCAAGGCTCTCTGGGGGTGATGCAGTTAGAAATATGCACCTCATATCCATTCATCATATCAGTAGATGGAATTGGATAGGGCCTTGGCCTCTCTCTAGCTCATCACTTCTCCCCCTTCCTCCCTTGATCCTGACCTTTCCGGTATCCAGATCTAGGATTCATGGTAGGCAAAAGAACAAGGCACTTCCTTTCCCTCCACCACCTCTAGCTGGCCCCTTTGCCTGGCCTGGGTTGGAGAAACAGAGGACACGAGGAGCTGCGAGTGGGAGGAGAGCCCAGCTCCCGGTAGAGGTGGATCAGCAGGACCCACTGGCCCTCCTCCTGCCCGCACTGTCCCCAGCACCTTCTGACCTGCCCCTTTCTTGGAGAGGTCCATGACTACAGCCTGTAATCTTCAGCCTTATTACAGTCTATGTGCCTGATGATCTACACACCACAGGGCTAATGTCCCCACCAGGGCTCCCACGATACAACCAGACAGACATCTCCCACCTCTGCTACAGAATAGGCCACACCCCAAAGAAAGTTCGCGGCTTACGCCGTGGTTTCTGGGCTGGCAGACAACCATACTGAGCCCCCACCAATCCCTGCTGTGAAGTTGGCCAGGTTTTATGGGGGAAGCTTTCAGAAAGTGGCTGTGTATGAGATTCCAAAATGAGTCACTGGCCAGCACCGCTCATGGTCACCCAGGCCTGTGCCAGTGCCTGCCTTTCTTACGGTCCTCTCCCCAACCTTCACCTCTGAGGTGGCAATGTTTGGTGGACACTGCTCCTTCCTGCAGGAGCCTTAAGTCAGACCATTTTTGAAATCACAGGAAGGGTGAGGAAATAGAAGTAACAATCGTGACTCTAGAGACTGGTGACGTGACTGACAGATGTAGGAGTGACTTCTGCAAACCCTCACTGAGCACTTGCTATGCTAAGCACCTGCTGAACACCGAGCACTGGGCGGGAGGGGACACTGGGGAAAATCAACATGGGCCTGGGTCTCAGGGGGCAGTGTAAGGCATGTAGCCAAGCAGTGGATGTGAGGCAGAAAGTGACAGAAGGTATGAGGGAGTTCTGTGACATGGCCAGTGGTGCAGACCAAGAAAAGCTTTCTGGAAGCGATCGTGTTTGAGCAAAAGCAGGAAGATCTTTGTAAATTGGGAGGAAATTGCAAGTTGAAAGAATGGTAAGATGGAGGAACCAGGAGAGAAGTCTGACGTACTCTCACTTAAATGTTAAGCCTCCTGCAAATTCTCTGTTGTGGCCAGTGACTTTCCACTTTCCTGACCCATTAGAAATGTCCCCAGCCTCAAGCAATCATTGAAACTGCCTCAAGATCAACTGGTTAACAACTTGTGAGATCGAAGGGCTTTTGTTATTGTTGTATTTTTTGTTTCCCATAAAGCACATCATTTCAACCCAAACTCGTGTCCTTCTGTTGTTTCTAGTGAGAATGGAAAAGACTGATGGGAAGAGGTTAAGTCATGCACGTTTTTCAAAATAAATGCTAAAGAGCAGCCACTCCTTTGGCTTTGATTTCGCTTCTGTAAAACGGAGACATTTGATGGGGCCAATATTATCCAGATGGTTTTCTGCAAAATACAGTTTCCTCAAGACAGCAGAGGATATCCCAGCAGCAAATAAGGTTCTGCGTTCAAAAATAATAACAAGCACCAGCACTGTACCAAGGTCCGCACTAAGAACACATACCATCTTAGCTAAGCTTCCTTCACAGCCTAAGAGATGGCCATGCTTAACATCTCCATCTCACAGACAGGAAAGAGCACAGGAAAGATCACAAAGATGTGATCATCACCAGTACGGCTGCCAGTCAATCTCAGCCTGATTGAAAGGTTCTTACCAGGCAAACCTTTTCCACTGTGATGTGAACACACATTGTCATTTACAGCTAGAAGCCAAGTTGCAAGACTGGTATGTTGAGCAGCAGAGCTTGGGGTCCTTGTTCCTCTTTCTTCCCCTATTCTTGGTATTTTGGCTTCTGCTCTCTGCAAATATATTGCCACGTGTCCCGGGATTGCTTTCTCCGGAATAGTTTCCTATATTCCTGAATATGAGAGGCTGCTATGGCTCCGGGCATCACATCCTCACCACAGCATCTTAAAATACAGGAAAGAATTTTCTTTCCCATGTCAATTTTAATCAGGAAGGTCTTGGTACATTAGTGTTTAGATCCGTCTGGCCAAAACTAGAATGTATGAGCTAAGCGTGGTAGCTCATACCTGTAATCCCAGCACTTGGGAGGCCGAGGCAGGAGGATCATTGCAAATTTGAGAACAGCCTAGGCTACAAAGTGAGCTCAAGGCCAGCCTGAACTGCATAGAAAGACCCTATCTCAAAAAAAAAAAAAAAAAAAAAAAACCACTAGAATGTATGTCTGTACTCTTACCGCAGTGAAGGGTGGGGAACTGGGTGCTTAATATTTTCAGTCTCCGTTGTGTGAGTCAGGCCCTCTACCACAAGATTAAGAAAGAAAAGCACAAAGGAGAATGGTTTCTGAGTAAGTGAATCTCAGAGTCTCTGCCACAGCCGCTGTGCCCTCAAAGAACACATCCTACCCAGTCCCTTGTGGGCTTATGCTATGCACTGTCAGAAGACCTTAAAGTCCCTGGTACTCCTAACTCAGTCTTTCATAAACTAATTCAACATGAACTTTGTGGAAGGCACGTTCAACTTACTGTATTTTCTCTACTCTAAGGTACACACTTTGCCCTTCCTTGTATATAATGCCTTGCACACTGAAGGGCGACTTTAACGAGACCAAACACAACTTTGCAGGCTGTAGAACCAACCACAGAAGGTGAAAGCTTAAAACCTTTGCAGGTTTAAGGCCAGATGATGCTTTGAGCAGATCGGTTCAAGAGCCCTGCACCTCCACCGAGTATCAGAAGCAGTGCCCTGGAGGCTCACTGGGCAAAATATCAGTGGTTGTAGCTGGCCGCTGAGCAGAGACACATGTGGAATAGAAGGGAAGCTGTTCTCCACAGCCGGCAAAATTCCAAGGGAAAAAGCACTAAAATTAATGGCAGTGGGGCATGGTGGCCCATGCCTTTAGTCCCAGCACTTGGGAGGCTGAGGCAGGAGGATCACCATGAGTTCAAGGCCACTTTGGGTTATGTAGCTAATTCAAGGACAACCTGAACTGCTTACCAAGACCGTGTCTCATAAAACCAAATAAATAAAAAGTATAAAATTAACAGCAGTTAACATTACAGAAGTATGTCAACGCCATTAATGCCCTATATGGTAAGAAGTTTTAAGCGTATCATTCTTGATCACTAAAAATCTTGGCAAAAATCTTGACCTGCTTGCATATGCAGGTGTGAGTCAGTGCCAGGCCATTCAGAAGCCCTGGAGTGGGACTCGAAATAAACACAAGCTCTCCTACCCCTTTACTTGCCCTAGTCCAATCTGATTGGCTCAGGGACACTGTAAAGGGTCACCAAGAAACAGCAGCCAGGGCCAGGCATAATGCTCCAGGCCAGTAAGGGCCATGTGTGCAGATAAATCAGGTCAAAAAATAATGTGACTTCTATGCCCATGGCCCAAAGCATTTCCATGTCAGGGGAAGTCTCCCACTCAACCTTCACCCTTGACATCAAATCATTTATTTACTCCAAGTTATTTACGGAACATTTTCCTTGCAGTCATCTCATCTGAGATGTTCCTATTTTAGTGTCAGTGGAATTAACAGGTTATCAGACTCGTTCTGTGGTTTTATACAAATTTGAATCAATGTCATCACTCTCCATAGATGTTGGCCTGTGGACATCTGCACTCATCCAAGTGGTCACCAGCAGTCCGAATAGCACACTTTGGAAATCACTGTTCTGGTTGATGTAAGAGAGTGGGAGCAAGTGACATGTAGTTCCTCAGCGTCCTCATCATGACTGGTCTTTGGGGACCCAAAGGGACATAAGCTGAAGATGCCACAGAGAGAAGACAGCACAAGGTTCTTTAATAGTCAAGCCCGATTAGCCACAGGCTACGACGGAGGGCCAAGACTGTCACACCCTGTTAGCTGGTTTCACAAGGTGCCCTAACTTTGCTAAGGTGTTCAGTCTGATATGGTCCCTCACCTCCCTGCAGCTCTGGGCCCTGAAGCCTTTGCCTCCATGTACAGTGCCGTGAGCTGTGGGAGGGACATTGTAGTGCCATGGGTAAGAACACACAGCTAGCTTTAGCCTCCCCACTCACTAGCTTCATTGTCACTCTGCCCCCAACTTCATATGTTGAAGCCCTAACTCCCAGTACCTTAGAACCCACTATATTTGGAGACAGCGCTTTTGAAGAGGCAACTAACTTGAGGCCATTAGGAAGGATTTTGTCCAAAATGGCTAATATCTTCATAAAAGATTAGGACAGACAAAGAGACACCAAGAATGCAGCTACACCATTCACAAGCCAAAGATGGTCCCCAAGGGGACAATTCTGCTGGCACCTTGATCTAGGACTCCCAGCCTCCATAACAGTAATAAAATTATTTGTTTAATCCAGGTAGTCGGTGGTATACTGTTATGGTAGTCTTGGGGTCATTGGTTGGCGTCTGAGAAGATCCTCCCAAAGAGAAGATGGAGACCTCAACACACACACACACACACACACACACACACACACACACACACACACACAGCATATGTTTGCTGATGTTTGCACCAAAATAAAGTATTTCAGAATACATCAGCATGAGATTTATTAAAAGCAAAATCAAAAAAAGTACACACTCAGGAGCATTGGCACTGGAGGCGTGGAGCACACTGTCCAAGGCTGGGGGTATTTGTGTGCCTGCGGGGGTAGAAGTTGTGGAATTGTTGATCCACAGTATTTGGAAAAAAGCATGGACCTAGTTTATAGAAGAAAGGCTCATTTCACAGGCTTATTGCATCTTTTTAAGACCCAGGAATTTTGGAGCGAGTTGTGCAGAAAGGAGAAAGAAGGCACTGTATGTAAATAAGCTTGGGTGACTGTGATGGTGCCCTGCTGCTGCAGTTTCTTAAAAGTTAATTTTAAAATTCGGTTTTCGTTGTGTCCTTTCTCCCTATCCTTACTCCTCCATCCTACTTCACTAGCAAAGTAACAGCAGATGGGATGAGACTTGCGTAAGAGGAGCAGCAGCGCTCACACGAGAGCCCTGAGGACTGACGACGCCTTCCGGAGAGGACCGCGCGGTACCTGCTGCAGGGGAGGTGCTCCCGCCCCTCTCTCCGCGCTCGGATCAGGCCGTTTACCCGGACTCTGAGCGCCCCCTTTAGGCTACTTTAGGAACTGCAGGAGAGACTTTCTCGCCTGGACTCTCCAGCTATCAGGGAACCTGGAGTCCGGAGCTTCCTGGGTTTCTTTGCCCTTGCCTGAGAGAGACCACATGAAGTTGTGGACTACACAGAAGAAAGGAGATCCGGGACGGGAAGCAGAGACTGTTGTGCTTGCATTCCTAGCTCTGAGCTTGCCTTAAATCCAGCGTTACCCTTTGGTGCCCCGTTATCCTCTCAGCAGGTAAATCCCATTTTATTGAAACCAGTGTGAGTTAATTCCGTCACATGCACCAAAGGAATCACAACAAATACACCGGCCCTCAGAGTGAATTAATACAGACAGGAGAATCTTATATGCACACCTTTGCTGTCTGTGAGAGTGACCACAGTCTAATGGTGCAGACCCCTGACACCCATGGGAGCTCGTGGAGGGGTATGGGACTCACACGGGAAGCCAAGCCAGCACACGTGAAGGGCTAACACTTGCTCAGGCGGCCCTTCACCAACTGCCTCTGGGTTTCCAAGCCTCCTTTTGGATAAGGAAAAAAAATCACTGTCAGACAAAAAAAAAAAGTATACCTGCTTCCATCAAATACTGCATCTTGGCCAGCTGGCTCAGGACAAATTGTCCATGCAGCCCACGCAATTTCTTCTTCCAACGAAATAATAGCACTATTTGATTTTTTAAAAGTATGTGTGCAAAACATAGCTCCTACCACTCCACAGGCAGCAGCACTAGAAGCCTGGTCGCCCTCCCATCTGGGAGCACCCAGAATTCCCACAGAAAAGGAGGACTCTGGTAGACTGGTCACTCATCTAGTGGCTTGATTTACATAGAACCCCCTGCAGGGGGCAGCCTGGGTATGTGGCCAGGACTTGGGGACTCCTTTATATTCCAGAGGCACTTAGCAACTTCTTCAGAGGAAACCCCATCTTGATGACTTAGCAAGGAGCACTTCAGAGGGTGGGTGAAGTACAGCACTGAGTACTCTATATGTCTCGGTAATCTCCTGGGTGCTCCTTTCATTTTTACTTAAATTCCTCCAGGTGAGGAAATTGATTCCCAACAAGTAATTCATCCATGTTCCACAACTGCATTTGGCAGATCTGGAACTCGAACTCAGGGCCGTCACACCAAATGTCCAAGAACTTGGCTATTGTACAACTACCTCCCTAGACAGAGTGCCAGGTAGCATTTGCAGAAGACTTTTTATGTGCTAGGCACAAAACCAAGCACTCTACACTTACGCTTCTCGACCACCATGTCAGGAGGTGTTAGTAACCCCAAGTTTTAGATGTGGGATCTGAAGTTCAGGGAGGCTGGGATGAAGCTCATGCCTGAGGCTGTGTAGACTCAGGGTGGGTGTCAGACACCGGGTCTCCCTCATCCCAAAGTCTTGCTCTTCACCAGCGTATTCCACAGACTGAGCAGAATGATGGTTGTGGGGTACTTGGGCATGAGGCTTGAGTGACCCTGAGTCCTGGACACCGCACTTCTGGTTCCACCCCGAAGGCCTTATGTGACCACAGATAAGATCTCTCCCCCTGGCTTGGCTTCGGTTTCCTTCTCTGACAAATTGAAGGGGCCGGACTGGCTGGGTCTCAGGAGTTTTCAACTTTGGATTGTGAAATCTGCTTTGTACCGTGCAACCTGACATCACCCACAGCCTCAGAGTAAACTGTCAGCCCTTCAGAAGAGTAAGTTCCCTGCAGGGTCAGGGATGGGGCTACCTCAGGACTTTGGGGCTGGATAGAAACTCAGAAGCCTTCAGAGGCCCGCAGTTTCCCCTCACATTTGCACCGCAGGGGCCTAGAGGCCAGATAAACCCACAGGAAGGATTATTTCTCATAATGTTCTAAAGCAATGGAAATTAATTGCCAACATTTTTAATTTCAGAGACTTCACAATAAAATCTGGATTTCTGGGCTCTTCCTCCTGAAACTCTGAACTTCTAGCTCACTCCAGGCCTGAGCTAACTGGTTCCTGGCTCTTTAGGGGCCCGGAGTTCTGCTTGGCTTCTGCTTGGCACACTTGGCCTGCTTCCATACACACTGCCTGCCCTGGAGGCTTCTGGCGCGCATGCCCAGCTCCTGGAGCCCCTGTGCTCTTTCCACGGGGCAGTACCAAAGGGAGGGTCAGCGGCACGTGGCACTTGACCACAAAGAAAAGAGATCCGATTCCTGCAGACACACATGTCAGCCTGCTTGCGTCTGCTGGCCGTGGAACCAGAGCCCTACAGCCAGGGTGCTTTGTGCCCTGGAGCAGGAACCCAAAGGTGCTAGGCAGGAGCACACTCATCCATCCACAGAACTCTCTCATTTCCCCATCAACAGCCACTCAGATCTCGATCTGCTTTCCGGGGCCCAGGATAGCCCAGCAGCATGTGTCATGTCTCTGGATTGAGGCTATAATGGCAACATTGTGCTGACTGAAACAAGGGAGGTTTTCATCTTGCAGCCAGCATGGGGCAGACACCCGAGCTAGAGGCTCTGGGGCTCACCCTGCACAGAGAAGCACGGGAGAGGGGCCCTGAACCACAAGGCAGAGCTGCGTGGCCACTGCAGCACCCGTGGGGCTGGAAGGCACAGAGGCCTTTCTTGAAGAACAACTCAGTTCAACCTCATCTCCTTCTACAAAGAAATAAGCCAATAAAACAGCCCCAGAAAATGTATGAGCCCCGTGCCAGGCCTCACAGGTCCTTGAGCACTTCTTGACTCACTTCACAAATATTTTATTACCCCTTCCGAGGTGCCAGGTCCTGGGTTTGGCCATGGGTACCCAGCACTAGGATACAGACCCACCCTCACAGTGTCCGGGGCCAGAGGTGAGAAAATACGTGGAAAATGTGTGGATGGCACAACAGGAGAACTGACAGAGATAACTCAAGGCCCAAAGCTGAGCCAAATACTGCGCCTTATTTTTGTTACTCTCCCGAAGTCTCCGGAGACCACTGCAGGTTCAGTAAAACAGCACATGGAAAACCATTATAAGGAGTTTGGACTTGGTTAAGGGGCAAAAAGGAGCCATAAAGTGTTTCTAAGGGGAAAGTGATATAGTCTGATCAGGATCATGGAATGGTCACCTGGTGGTCATGGTGATAGCAGATCCTGGATACAAAGTGACAGTTTAGAGGGAGGAGATGTTTTCCAGGGAGGAAGAGCTCTTAGCCTCCAAATGCTTCCTTCCCAGAGTTGCTCAGTTCCACCTGATAAGCTAAGAATGAGACTGGGGAGGAACATTTGTCTTCACAAGACTGGGAGCAGGAGGAAGTCAAAAGCTTTCTTCCTGTCATTGTTCATGGAGGCCAAATTTGCTCTTTTTACAGGACTAGAACCTCTCCACATTTCTCCACAATTCCTTTGCCAAGCATCAGGCAAACCTGAAAAAGTCTGTAGTGAGCAAGAAAGAAAAGAAAGATCTGAGACAGATCCTAAAAATCTGTGCCAGTGCTGCTCTCAAAAACCCAGAAAGAGGAAGAGAAAATCAGACAGCAACTCCCTTTCTATCCTGTGTTAATACTTAGCACCTGATACTCCGTGATCCCGCCAAAGCAAACTGCTTTGCAGACACCCCCTGCCGTTTTCTATCTACACACCTTGCCCTCAATGTTTTCTTAACCCGGAATGTTATCTCATCATGGTTATGTTCAAATCCTCTCGAGCGCAGCTGACACTTGACCCAATTTCTGTGGCCATCAATAGCTCCATGATTGATCAAATACTCTTGCTTTCCCTTGACAGACTTCCAAAGCAGTTGGTCTCTCCTCTAGTACTTTTTACATAACAATCTGTGTCAAAATTATTCTACATATATTCTTCTCTACTAGATTGTCGATTCCTCAAGGTTGAGGATCATTTCTACTTAACTTTTCATTTTCTCAATAGGAACTTGCACACAGCACAATCCATATTGCCTAAATGAACTGACGGTGGTGAAAGCTGATTTTTAAGGTGAATATGAGTCTTATTAAAGAAAAAGTATAGAAAATACATAATTGTTGCTATATTTTAATCCACAAATAACTTTTCCATCCATCTCATTCGGTTACCCTAAAAGCAACCAAGCTGTAGTCAAGTTAGTCAACATTGCCACCTACTGGACATCATGGTTAATTATTTAAATCAGAACCAATGTCCTTCCCATCAAATTTTTGCTAATCTTTCAAACAGTGCCACAGTCTGTGTTCTTCCTTTTTTATATGTCTTCCAGACCATAGCTCAGTTAATTTCACCTTACAAATTATTCTATAGACACATGTAAATTCTCCTTAGTTTTTGTTTTTGTTTTTTCTTTACTTTTCTGTTTCAATGGTCTGAATGCATTTCCAAAGTCCTTGAAAGTTTCTAAAAGTCCTCTACAAACTACAGGAGCTTCCATCTATTTCGTTTTTGTTTTGGAGACAGGGTTTGGCTATGTAGTTCAGGCTGGCCTTGAATTCACTATGCAGCCCAGGCTGGCCTTGAACTTACAGTGATCCTCCTGCCTTGATCTTCCAAGTGCTTATTATAGGTATACACCACCATGCCCAGGGCTTCCATCTGTTTTTGCAGTAGAAATGTTTCATACTGTTTAAAAATTATTTTAAATGACATGTCTTTTAAAAAGAATTCATGGAACAGCTGGGGAACTTGACTACAATGTACAGCCTGATTTCCAAGAGTTTCAGAGCTCAAACAGTGAATTTTGGGTACTTACTGCACTTTTAAATTGTTGGCTAGCTGCTTTAGAATTCTCAGTGACCTTTTCAAATTGGAAAAGTGGGCAGGAACAAAGGGGAACTCAGAAAATAATATTGGCTCACATTTGTATGTGTATTTATGGTTCATAAAGTGGATTTCTATCATCATTGCATTTGCCCTGCCAACAGTCCCCTGAGGTCAGTGTGAGGTTCCTCGTAGTACAAATGACCAGGCTGGCCTTAGACAGAAAGTTGTATTCAGGACTTACCTGGTGGGAGACCTACAGCTCACACACACACCTTCAGACTCCAATCCTATCATTTTTTCACTGTGCCATGTCTCCTCTGAGTGCTTACACACAAATACATTAAACTATGGTGCCATGTTGCAAAGACAATGCTAATTTAAACCTGCTGGTAAAGCACTGGAGAATTTTTCCCGGTATCAGAAAGCGTGAGATGCTCTTTCCTAGCCACCCCACCACCCCCGCTTCTGTCTTTGCAGAGCTCCCAAGACCAGAAGATTTTAAGTAAAGTAGGAGCACTGGCCTGGCCCAAGCTATGAGGAGGGGTAACCCAGAAGAAATCTGAGGCTGAGTTCATGTAGTAAAGGTCATACACTCAGGCATTTATAAGTGATGTCTGTAAAGGAGCTGACACAGTGGTACACTATTAAAACAAAGGACTTGACATTTTTCACATGACCTTTAAACTTCATTACTGGACATATCCTACGATTATCCTGAGAAGTGCACACGGATATGACACTGTATTTTGTATGCTTAAACCATTCGTTTCACCAGCCTTTATCACTGTTTTGACATTTCCTTACTTTTTAGTACAGAGGCACTTCCAAAACTGGAAGTATCCCCAAGCCACTGCCCTCTAGTAGCAACCCTGTTTCTCTGTGGTTTTCTTTATGAAGATGTTTGTTGTTCATTATCTCACTCTTCTTCTCTTTCCCCACTACTGATTGTACCAGCCTTGGCCCTGGCCCACTAGGAGGTGTCAGACGGAGAAGATAAACCCACCGGCGCGCGGACACACACACACACACACACACACACACACACACACACACACAGGGCGTCCCTGCGGAGGAGGCGTAGACCTAAACACTGCAGGAACACCAGCGACTGGACTGGAAATGGGTGCTTAAATCCGATCAAAGGCCAGCACGGGGTCGCGGAGAGCGTGTGCAGCCGAGGCGTGGCGCGGGCGTGTGTGGGACACTGGACACGGGCCGGCGGCCCAGGGGGCGAGGCGTGCTCCGGTCTATTCCGGGCTCTGCGCGGAGGGGCGGGCGGGGCGGGGCGGGGGCGCCGGGAGCATCCTGTCGGGGGAGGGGACGCGCAGAGTCCCGCCGGCCGCCGGAGAGCGCCTTGCCGCGGCGCTGCCCTGCGCGCGCCGCCACCAGCTGCGCCGGAGCCCTGCGCCCTGCGGCCCCGCGCCCGGGGAGCCCGCCGGCGCCATGGACCGAGGCCGGGGTAAGAGCAGCCGCAGTGGCCGCCAGTGCTGGGTGCTGCGTGGGGCGAGGAGGGGAGACCCGGGCGAGCTAAGGCCGGAGAGCAGGCGGAGGAAGAGGAAGGAGAGGTGGGCGGCCGGGCTGGGCTGCGGTGCTGCCCGAGGGGGCGCGGACGGGGGACTGGAAGACGGGGTGCTGGGTAGGCAGGTGCCTCCTGCAGTTCGATCCACCGGCGAGAGTCAGTGTTTGGTCCTGTGAGTCGCCTCCTGTGTGTCCAATTGAGTTTTTAACACCAATCCCTAACTTCAGAAAAGATCCCAAACGAATTCCTGAGGACAGCGAGGTCCTCCCTTCCCATTTTACGCAGGAAAGGTGAAATAAGGTTTACAGACCACATCAAAACACCCGACACATGAAACCCTACTGTGCGCCTGGCAAGAAGCCCACAGAGACCAAAGTTTGCTGCTGCCCGGGGCTCTGGGGGAGGAGGGGCTGCGTGAGCGCGCCTGCGTGCGCTCCTGTGTACAGTATTGGGAGTTTCGCAAGTGGTGGGGACCGGCGACATGGAGACTGACCCGACCAGAGAGGGCAGCATTCCAGGGGGCTAGGGCTGAGGGCAGAGCGATCCTAGTAAAGATCTAGAAACCGTGCAGTGGATGTGTGCATGTCTGAAAAGTGGCCTGCTGGGACTGGGGAACAGTGTGAAAGGCTGGAATGGGGGCTTTGAGGACCTAACCTGCAGCCTTGGATTCAAAAAATCACCGGTGTGGAAGCCACTTGGTGGACTGGCTGGCGAGTAATGCTCCAGGAGGAGAATGTTGCTATAATTAACAGGAAATTCCTCCCTCTCCCCACAATAATCTTACGCCCTTTCCCCCACCTGCCTGTTTGCTGTGCTGAGGCCCGCAGGGAGAAAGAAGGAGTGACCAGGAGAGAGGAAGAATTTCGGGAGCCCCTGGGGACAGGAACCAGGGCAAGAGTAGATGTCAGGGTAACCCCGCCCCTTGCTGCACTCTTGTGGCAGGTAAAGCCAGGTTAACCAGCAAGCTTCTAATTCAGCACAAAACACCACTTCCACCTTCTCCTCTAAGGGCCTAAAGGACTGGCAGGAAATGGAAGGGACGTTCATGATTTGAAAGACTGTTCTCAATTGTAACCGACTTCCAGGCAAGGGTAAACCTCCACCACCACCAGGAGAGAAAGAAGAGGCACCTCGATTGGCCTTCAGGCCTGCTGTCCCTCTTCCCACATCGTGCATCTAAAAAGCACCCCAGTTACAAACACCAGTTATGAAACATCGCACTGTCTGCCTCTGAGCACACAAATGCATACCTGGACTTACCCAGACATGCAGAAATAGACAAAGGTGACATTTCACCAAGCTCTACATGCTTCACAACCAACAGGACCGCTCTGAAGGCTGTTTCCACATCACTGTTGGCTGGGAGACCTGACATCCCAGCAATCTCTTGGTGCTCCGAACGTGCTTGGACACCGGCCCACTCTCCCTAGCCCACTTTCCTTCTGCCCCTCAGCTCTGTCACAGTGCACTGTTTGCCGTCCAGTGACCTCTCCTCTCCAAGAGTAAGCTTCAAAACGCAGGGCACAGAGCTGTTATGCCCACCCTGCTGACCGCACCTGCCCCGAGATAGGAGCTTGCTGATAGTGGTGTAATGAGTGAGTGAAGCTCGCTTGTACTGTACCTCGAGATGATTAATTATAATGAGGATTTTTTTAAAATACAGCTAAATCCTCCCATCCTTTGTGACTTGCAAAGGTGGGCTCAAAGTAAAGGAGTTGTGTGACCAGTGCACAAGAGACCAAGTTGTCTATCTAGATCCTCATTTTTCTACCCTGGTAATTAGCTGGCAACACCTTCTGCATTACGTATTATGCATTAAAACATATTATGCTTGTGGATTAAAATGAAAAATCTGTATGTAGTTTCCTTTTGTTTGTTTTTGGTCAGATGATACTGAGGATCAAATCTAGGGCTTCTCTACCACTGAGCTACATCCCTACCCCTTGTTTCTTATTTCAAGATAGAGTCTCAGTATATTGTTCAGGCTGGCCTGGAACTTGTGATTCCCCTGCCTCAGCCTCCCAAGTAGATGGAATCACAGGCATTGCTGCCATACCCAGCCTTCTATACATGATTTTAAGATAAAATATGAGACTTAGAAAATCATTTTAGGCTCATGCCTGTAATCCCAGCACTTGGGAGGCTGAGGCAGGCGGATCCTTGTGAGTTCGAGACCAGCCTGGGCTACAAAGTGAGCTGAAGGCCAGCTTGAACTACAGAGAGACCCTGTCTCAAAAAGACCAAAAAACAAAACAAAAGTCCTGGAAAAAAATCATTTTAGCAGACCACCCTGTTGTGCTTTGGCCCACAGGTGAGAGTGCATTCATTTTTGTTGTCAGGGAAGGTTTAAGAAGTATGAGACACATTTCAACCTCATCCCTACCATCTTGGAGGGAAGATTGTTATGTGCAGGTTACTGAGGACAAAACCATACAATAACTGACATTATCTAACTTTTACTGGGTGCCAGGCTCTATGCTCAGCTGTTGTATGGTTTCTCTTGGAACAGCACACATGATGGGACTTTAAGCATTAAACCCACCACCTAGAAAAGCAGGCTTGGATGAGGTATTGGTCGGCCCAGGCTACCGTAGCATGGTTCTACAAACTAGACAGCTTAAACAACACAGATTTATTTCCCTACAGTTCTAGATGCTGAATGTCCAAAATCAAGGTGCTATGAGGATAATTTCTTATGAGACCTCTCTTCCTGTCTTGTGAGGCCACCTTCTCATATGGCTTCTTCCTTTCCTGATAGCAGTGCTGTCAGAGGAGGCTCCCACTGTGATAGCCTTGTTAACCTTAATTATCCCCTAAAGTCCTGTCTTCAGATGTAGCCACACAGGGCTAGCTAGGGCTTTAACATCTAGGGCAGAGGGGACACAGATCGGTCCACACAGCCAGCATAGGTCATTTGCACAGTCATTCCCCATGTGAGACACAGAGCTGCAGTTTGAACCTGGCTTTGTCTGCCTGAAAAGTTTTGATTTTAAGCATGCTGTTAACTGCCTCTCTGGTGGCAAATGACCTGTGAGTCAAATCCTACTGCAGACCTAGATGCAAAGTCTTCCTGCTCCTCTCCAGGAAACCCCATCATGCCCCAGTTCAGGTGTTCCGGCACAATAGTACCATAAAAGCTTGACATCAAAGTTGAGTGAGTCAAGATTGGAAACAAACCTGGGAAGTGGGACCTTTCTTCTAACAGGATATGTGTCTTCCCGTGGGTAAAGCAGGATTTATACGATACAGTAACACACATATAAACCACTTCAAATGGAATTCCTTCCAGCAGGATCTCCTGATTCATGAATGTCATTCAAAGAGAACAAGCCACTGGGGAAGGTAACACACAGGACAGTCCAGTGACTACAGACATCATCTTCTAATGGACAGCTTAGTTAATTTTCTTTCCTCTGATCAAAATAAAATGTAGCTACTGGGAATGCCTATTTCTTGGGGTTGTAAATATTAAATGCATAGGAAATACTTCAAACAGTATGTAAATATGAGACCCACTTACTGATCCAGGCCATTGTAATAATTACAGCCTTTTTGTAAAAAATCAGACTCAGCATGATAAAACTGCTTTATAAAATGTCCCTTTATAGACTGTCCCTCCATAAGCTGATCCAACTAGAATGATACGTTTTTAATCTGCTCTATTTTACGCAGTGAGCTGCATAGCTTCGTGTACAGTGCAGACAGGGAACAGGTCATCATACATCTTTGTCTCCTGGAGTTCCTTCATCATGCTTGTGTCTTGGAAGTTCACTCTGACCTGACTCATCCAGTCACAACCCAAATGACATTTCTGACTGATAAAATACTGCTACAGATGCCCACATGTCCATTTTCTTTCATCCTTTTAGTTATGTCTACTAACTGTGTTATATCACCACAGTTTTTCTTTGGTAAACTTTTCAATCTTCTCAAGTGATCTTCTCTTTAAATTACTTGCTCCAAATTTTCTCTGACTTATATGTATCATCTTAGTGTCTAACCTTATATAGGATCTCTCTGGCTCCTAGGAAGTGATTGGTTTCCCCACGTTTCCTTTCCTTTCCACTTCACAACTAGTTCAGTTCAACCAAAGTTGAGAAATTCTTTGGCTGCAGTTGGTATTCTTTGGGAGACTGTGTTGTCTACCAGGCAAATAAAAAAGTAATCCAGGGGCCTAGGAATTTAGCTCAGTGGCATAAGCGCCTGCCTTGCAAGCAGGCAGTCGTGAGTTCGATCCCTGGTACCAAAAAAAAGGAAAAAGACAAAAAAAAAAAAAAAAAAATCCAACATTTTGCTTTTCATTGAATGAGATTCTTATTTTTCCAGAGACAGTGGAAGAATCCATTCCCACCACGTTGCCTCTGTGAGCTTTGAGATTCACATCTTCACTGTGGTATCACTGGCCAACCAATGTGTGGTTAGCTGTCTGTCAGGGGCTCACTCCCCAACTTCTGCTCCCAAGGCTGTGGGCTTCCAAGCAGACTTACCTCCTCCCTGACATCCAAGTTCACACCCTTCTATCAGAACCAGTCCTTTTTGATAAGAACCGGTATCCATATTCTATTTTCCACCCATACATGTTCTACAAGGTCAACTTTTCCCCAGGTGTTTTTTTTTTTTTTTTCTAATTTTAAAAGCAATCTGTACAGAAATGATACAGAATTTCAAAAAAAAAGTGGGAAATTAACACTGATATATATTGCACATTATCTTAGAAATAGTTGCTCGATTCAAAGATTTAAGCATAAAAAAAGATCAAACAATGAAGGCAAGGTTTCTTTTTGATGCGAAATCTGAGATTAGTAGTATCGTTATCTATCTTGTTAGTTTTTTTGACTTATGGTAATTGTACAGATTTATGGGGTACAATATGCTAATTTGATACGTATATGCAGTGCATAATGATCAAATCAAGATAATTCACATTTCTTTTTTTTTTT